CCACTTACATTAACTACCACACAACATTTACATATATTCGTTATTCTTTACAATATTATTTACATAGGCAACATAGGCCTTTCAAAATACCATCTACAATAGTTATACCACATCAAAACATATATACAAAAATTCACAAAACATGTCACTGTTCAACTAGCAGCTCCAAGCAAAATTCTAGTCTTAATCCACTGGCATTTTACCTTGATCTTTATCTCCAGTTCCAAAAGTACCTAAAATATATCCCTATAATGCGGAGTGAGATAAACTCAATAAACTCAGAATTTATGGAGAAGTCTCCACCCACGAGTTCACTTCATGCATTACATGTTAAATTCCCAAACATAGAGAACACCATATATTTTCAAATAATACAATAACTATTTTACATCATTTTTACCATTCGTTAAACATACATAACTTTACAATTTATAGTTTCATTAATTACTTCACAAACAAATACTTCATAATCTCATTCTAGCAATTATAATCAACTAGAATATACTTATTTCACACAATCAGAACTTACTTCATAAATCAGAAACTCTTATAGGAATTATCCGCAACACACAATCTTCAAAACGAAAAAGATTAGTACTTCATACTAATCAAATTAACCAAAACCATTAGAATAACTCCTATATGAATGCAATCTATTCTAGGATTAACACTTCTCGCATATATTTGAAACAGAAACCATAATCCACTTGATTATGGCGGAACATTAAGATGGAGAAAGCTCCTAAACCGAGAACTTACATGTCCTGCTTTCCTACTATTAACTTGTTGTCCAAGCTATGTGTACTATTTACGTCCACTTATTTAATCTGATTACACTGGTACCATACATATGAAAATACAATTAATTACCAAATCAAAACACATATTGCTCGATACACAACAACTAACATTTCACATGTTAACTCAATTACCCACTTGGTAATTCTTTTAATCACTTTTTCCATTAACAGTTCATGCCATACCACACAAGTCTTAACATAATTTCACACCTTAACCTTAGACCCACATTTCTAGTTAGTTAAACCACTAACCCAAGTAAGTATTTAATGCTTTATTAAGGCTTAGTATTCCTTAACACCACTTGAATCTTACTTGATTCCACTTAATAAACACCATACAACCTTTAATTACTTTTGATTCACATACCATGACAATTAATTCATCATGGCCAAATCACAACATCAACAAAATCATGCATTTTATGCATTCTATTCTTATAATCAATTTATCCATTTAATACACCATTCAACCTAATACATAATCACTTGATATTATGTTAACTTCATTTTTCACATAACCTTGCATACACTTTAAATTATATTCTTTCACATACAATTTACATACATTTTATTAGTGTAATCTTCCTTACAAATTATCAGGTTTACACCTCTAAATGATATAAATCCAACTTTCATTCTTTTACCATTTTCTTTTACATAGCTATATTGACACCTATATGAATTCAATTACTTTTTCTCACATCAAATTCAATTAAGCTATGTTCAATCTGCATTTTTTTTTACCAATTGAACATTACACAACATTTAATTATCAAGTTGTATAATTTTAAGCAATTAAACCTATGTTGGTCGAATTGATCATGTAATCTTTCTACATGATTAACCAATTTAGCAACCTTATAAATCACATTAATTCACACTACCACATTCTTTAAACAACCTTGTTTAATTACAAAGTTATTCCTTGACATTTAAACTCTATGTTTTCCAATGACACTTATATAGTTTCTATGTCATTAACTTGATTTCTTTTCAAGGTAACCCACTTTAAATCTTAATTAATCACACGCTAGGCATACTTTAATCAACTTAACATAATCAATTATCAATCCTTATCATTTTAAGTGTACATGGCCGAACTGATTTGCATTGTCATCTTTTCATATAAAATTCTTATAAGATTCTAGAACCTCACTAGGTGGCAAAACTGATTTGTATGTTGGTGGATGACTAGGATTGCTTACTTAGATACTTAACACCTTTAGACTTCCAAACTCGTCATCCATTGGTCCATTTATTTAAGACTAGTCAATCTTGATTCTAATTGGTTGGTCAATGTAACACCCCGTGTATACCCGATTTGTTATTATATCATCGTATTAAGCAGCGCTTAATAAAAATGCGAAACTAACTTTTTACTTTCAATTATGACGTCATTATTATTAACCAAATTAATTAATTAATCTATTTTCAAAACATTTCCTGTATGTAAGTTGCAATAAAAGCTCAATACACTGAATAACCTCATAATATAAATAAGTGAGTATCTAAATCACGGAACTATAACACGTAGTCCGAACTATAATTCTGATACATTATACTACTCGAATCTAAATCAACATAATCAAATCAATTGGCATATACAACCCCCATGCTCACCAAATAAGGCAACAAAGCCCAACAGAGTCTCAAATCAAATAACATGATAATAAATATAGACATGTCAGCATCCAAGCATATAATCACAAAAGCATAAATCTCAACTCAGCTCCGGCCTCCTGCCGCCCGAGGTATCAACCCCCGAGTTACCTGAACCTGAAAATGTGCCCCAAACGTGGGGTGAGATCTCTAAACAGAAATCTCAGTAAGACAAGGGGTCCTCAAGGATCTCTCTACCCCAAGCTCACTTACATGTGCAATATAAGTTCTAAAAGCAGTAAAACAGTATAAGTTCCAAAATCAGTGCAATGCAGCAGATAATCATGTCATGTGTGTCAAAATATCCTACTGGCCAGAGAAATGCAGGAATTATATACGTCTATAACCTACAATCAGTGCAACGACACCACTTGCACCCACCCACAGAATCACCACATCGTATGACGTCACATACTCAGGCGTACCGTCTAGGTGGAACAACACATGCATATCATAATGCACTTGCACATAACAGCTCAACAACATTTCAAATATTCAAACATGAAAACACATCATGCACTTCCCCTATGGGGTATGGTGGAACCAACAATGGCTAAACCGAGGACACGAAAGCTTACCTCTTAAGCAATCAATCAAAGCCAAAGTCCACACTAGGTCAAAGTCCACAAACAGCAAATCACAATCTGTTTTAGACCAACAATCATATCAACATTCGTCATCTAATAATTCATGACATAACGACAACGTTATCCTTTTACGTTTCATGTCTTTAGGCTTCTCACAAAGCCATAAGCCCTTAATCCACTTGATTCTGACTTAGTTAGTTATTACAGAGATTCAACTCAACCAATCTAGGGTCCATAAACCCCAAACACGGTTTTGTATGAACAGAACAGTCACTGTCTCAAAATTCTCAGAATATCTGGATATTTGTCGGGGCCATATTCGGATATCCATAACCGGATATCATATTGGGATATTCATATCCGGATATTTCCATCCCAATATCCGGATATTTCGCGACAGAATGCAGTTCTGCATTTTCGCGAAGATATCCAACCAAGGCTCCATTTTTAACACTTAAATACGTTAAACCATGCATATTTAAGCCCATTTAGATCAGTGATCATGTTAGCTACTTAAACAACTAATTAAACATGCCAAGATTCCACTTTTATTAACGAAACTCATGATCAAAGGTTCAAGAACATACCCAAGGCTCTCAAAACAGAACTACAAATGCTCTTGGAGCTCACAAGTCAGTCCCAAGGTTCTGACTTCAGGGGTCCACGAAAATTAGCTTCAAGATGGTCCCTTTCTTCACAAAGGTTGCTTCTTGGAGCATCAACTACCAAGAAAGTGGCTCCCTTTTCACCAACCAAGAAGTCAGCCCTCCTACCACCACTAAACAGGGATCAAAACTCAGAAAAATGGCTGACTCCACCCTCACCAATCACTCAACTATGTGTTTGCAATGTTTAGAAGAGAGGAATCAATGAAAAAGAGGTGATTTGGGAGGTTTTTCATGCAAGGAGGACAAGGGAAGAAGGTGGCAGCCAAAGCACCCAAAGAGCTCTACGTAGCACTCAGCAAAATGACCTAGAAATATGTGCCTCTAATATTTATAGTCACATTAAGTCTTAAACACACTGTATTAGCATTAATAGCTCCGCTTATCATTTTAATCCCAAACCTTAGATTTTGAACCTAGCCATTTTTCTAAGATTTGTCATATTTTTATTTTATTTTTCGCAGCACTTTGTCGGTATGTGCTTTCACAAAGTTAAGTTATGTTACTAACTTAACAATTTTGTATTCATCTTTGACCTAAACCAATTTCCATTGGTTTATTAATTTTCCTTACTTTGACCTATTTTTAGAAATTAATCTAGATATTGTTTGATCACAATAAGATCACTTTGAACCCATAGAATTTAATTACATCATCAAAATCAACCTTTGACCTAACCTTGATCATTTATCAAAGTAATCCTGACTTTTCACATAATGACATCTATGTCCCCACGTATACCTTATACTTATAGTAGGGTCCTATTAGACTTGTCTGACATAAACTGTATCCTTAACTTATCATGTCAATTATATGATTTATTGTTTACTGTTTCCTGAATACGTGTTTAAATTCCACTTAAACACTTGGTTAATTCACTGTCACATATTTTGACAATGATGGTTGTTATAACTATCACACACTAATTAAGATATTGGCATGCTACAATTGAAAAATTAAAGAAAAAAAAAACTTTCATAATATGTACGGTGTTTATGAAAGCACAGAAATTAACAAATATTATGAACTATGAAGCAAGTCATGATTATATGATAATTTTTATTAAACAGTATATAAAACATATATATATCACCGGATACAATTAAAAACAAAAAAGAAAGTGGAAAAAGAAGCTGAGAACGTAAAATCTAAACCACAGAATGTAGCATACACTATATATTCTATAAACCATCACAATAGACAAGTTAAAGTAGCATACACTATACATTCAATAAACCATCACAATAGACAAGTTAAAGTTGGCATCTGCTAAATTATTAACCATCCATTTAGAGATTGGACATTAATATCATAGTGTCTTTCTTGATCTTGAATGTGTCATCCAACTCTTTCTCAAACCTCTCCATAGCATCAACTGGAAGGCAAATTGGAACAACTCTACCTTGTTCTCCTTTTGAATTTGTAAAAGGAAGATAGAAACTCACTCCAGGAATGTTCCCAAGACCACCTTTTGCTAAACCAGCATACACAGCTTTGCCCCAACCAAAGTTCACATCTCTGAATGCAGCCTTTGTAAGATCTGAAACCATAAAAGACCCTAAGGTAGTAAAGCAAGGTCTTCCCTTGGTTACCATTAGGTCAGCGACAGAGTGCACATACTCTTCAGTTGCTTCATCCTTTGCCTTCTTCACTAGCTCCAGAGCATACCCTAGTGGACGACCACATAGCTTCCCCACGGTTGTAACCGCAGCCGGAAACACAAAAGCGTTGCCATAAAAACCTTCAGGCAATGGAGGGTTGAACTTGCAACGTCCATAACGTGCATTCACAATGCACAACAAGCGCACCTGTAGCAACATAACGAATTTGAACAAGATAACTAATATTATTAATAGTCATTCCGCATTAAACCTTGGTTAGCAAGGAGAGGGATGAAAACAATTCTTGTATGCAATCTTACTATGCATGTTCGCAGATAGGCTATTTCTTGGATTTGAATTTATGACTTTTCACTCATTTAGGAGCAATTTTATCACTGCTCTAAACTTGCCCTCTTTAACTAATTAATACTAATAATAAGATAAAGATAAATAAAACTTATTGTGATAAACTAATCCAGATAAAGATAGATTAAACTGAGATAACACAATTTAAATTCTATTAGTTTGGTTATCGCAATTTCTACGTAACCTCTTGATCAGGGTTTTGCCACTGCAATGCAATTGTGCGACAACGCCAGAGGAATGATGTGAGGACATCGAAGGAGGTGGGTTGAGAAACTTGTTGATGGGGAAGAAGTTCACGGATTGAAGCTATCTCTTTTGGGCCAAAGAAGAAGGAACGATGATGGGGTTTGAAGATGCTTTTGGAATCAGGTGGTATTTGTTGGTATTCTTGATGGATGCATGTAACTCTCGGTGGGTCTCTTGCACATAATAGTTCTCTACGCCACACAGGGAGAATAGAAGGCTTTGGTGCTCCACATGCTATTTCTGATAAGGCTTTCAGGAACTGGGAAATTCCACTACCATCGCTCATTGTATGGTTCATGCGGAGAGCAAAGATGAAACCACCACACTTGAGGCGCGTTACCTGCCATTTATATATATAACTATATAAGCGAGCTGTGCCAGAGGAACAAATTTTTATCAGTGCAAATCTATTATTATAACTATGTATATCAGGGAGTACACAGTTATAATATTTTTCTTTTTTTGAAGAAATTTTTCACAAAATTGTCAGCTGAATGCTCAATGCAACAGGATGCACTAAAAATTTGTTCGCATGAGATATATAATATAAAAAACATTGATGATTCTTCGTTTCTAAACTTAAGCTTTCAGGTGAGATAATTTCTTTATATGATATGAGAGTAAGGTGATTATGGAATTACAAGTTCGATCCTCAACATCCCTTATTTTTTAATAGAATTAAGTCAGCATAAAGTAAAACAAAAAAATAGGTAGGTGCAATATTTATATTTCAAGCTTAAAGAACTTTTGTGTGAGAGGTCTGTTAGAAAGATATAATATAAAAATGATTGACAAATCTTTAGTTCTAAATTTAAACTTTTAGGTGAGATGGTTTATTTACACCAACTTAAAGAGTATGTAAACAATTTATGAGCATGAATCGGAATTTCATGTTGTGAGTGATTCTTGACTTTTTTTTAAGGCTTGACATAACATGCTTTCGTATTTCTTAATTCTTCTTAGCCATTTAATTTTGTTTGAGAATGATAGTGTAGAGTGTTTAATATAAACAATTAATAGAAAAAGTTACTTTTGGAGTTAGCTTTTTTTTTTTATTCTTTTCCTTTTTTTTAATAGGCTTTGGAAATTTGTGGGAAGCAGTATGCAAGCAAAGAGTTATTTTTTTTATAGATAAAAATACTAAATGTAACAAATGAATTTTAGTAAAATGACAGAATAAAAAATAAGTAAAAAAAAATGAGTTAACCTTTGGAAGTTATTAATTTATTTTTTATTTGCCTCACCAATTTTTTTTCTCTCTGTAATTATAAAAAGATTTTATAGTTTTTTCTACAAAAAGTTACGTAACAAATAACTTACTGTAAAGTAAAATATTTAGTCTACAAAAGTAATCAATGACATTCCTGCATTAGTTTAAGGGTAAAGTGTGTGTCATTTTAAAGGATGTAAAGTTGTGTCATTTTAAGAGAGAGAAAGAGATAGATAAAGGAGGAGAAAGAGTTGACAAAAAAAATAAAGGTGTGGGCCCCACCTCTTTGTGAGAGTGAAAGGATATAAGTTGTGTCATTTAAAAGGATAAACATTTTTCCCTTAGTTTAAATAATATAAATATGAAAGTGAAAATTCTAGGATGAATAATGTGCTACAGCCTACCCCCCAAAAAAAAAAAAGTGCTACAAGCACACTTTTAATTAGAGTAGTGAGGTGTGTGTGTTAGGAGTGTGTGTAGTGTAAGGTGCTGTGTTCAATTTCTTGTAATCTCTAAAAAAAAAGAAAATAGTTTCTACTAACAGTGCAATAAAAGGTCAAAAAGCAAAAGTAAAACTATTCTAAGATAGAGAATTTTTCTAGCACAATGTTTTCCTGATATAGTGACGAGTGTTTTGGGAATGCTTTATTTTATTTAAAAACTTTTTCAAAATAAATAAATATTCCCTAACATATTAATAATTTGAAATGTATAACTCATGTGATATATTTATTTTAAGAGTTTTATTAATATCATGTGAAAGGAAATATTTATCTCATGTCATAGAGATAAATTTGTGAGCTCCATCACCTGAAAAAATAAAAGAAAAGAAAAGAAAAAGATAATATAATTATCAAAAGGAGTATGTACAAAAAAAAACTTATGTCATTTAAAATGAGAATAATTTTTTCTTTATTTTAATTAAGACACAGATTAACATGCATTTACAAGAAGAGAAATGTTTTTCTCAAGTTACATAAAATTTTTTATCTCATGTCACAGACACATCGCAATCCGAGCCAGCATTTCTTTTTCTTTTTTCTTTTCTTTTAACCGTGGGACCCATCCAATTATGTCTCTACATGAAATAATACTATCTCATGTAGCATGAGAAAATCATTGCCCTTACAAGAATGTCTAAGAACCTGTATTAGCAGGAGAGGACAGTCAATCACTCCATCTGAACCGGGAACGTTGTAAAGAAGCTCATCAAAGCAAGGTAATGGTGGCAGAAAAATGTTTCCAAACATCTCAAGTGTAACATCAGCATCAGCCTCAATAAACATGACACCTTCCCCGTTACAATCCACCATTAGTTTTCCACTAGGACCTTCCCTAAGCCTTCCCGCGAGTGGATAGTAAAATACAAGTGTTTTTGCAAGTGCTTCTCTAATGAGTTGAACAGGGTCTTTCCCTGCCATTTGAGGCTTGCAACGATAGAACTGCACCAATGGAATATGGTAACGTAAACCCTTTTGGTCATCTATGTCAGATAGCAACTTAAACTCATGGGGAGTAGGGTTAGCTGGGGCTACTAGCTCTGGCTTGTACCTCCTTACTTCAAACGCTAGAGATGAAGTTTGGAGAACCATTATTTATGTGTTATTTGGGAAGCTAGACGAGAAAAAGTGTAGTAGCTACTGTGTACTCAGTTTTAGTTTGTGTGCAGTTGTTGATGTTTGGAGCTTGTATTTATAGTAGAGAACAATAATTTAAAAGAAATATGGCACCTCGTATTGGACTTGTGAGTTGATGTTTTTCTGTGTCTCAATCAGAGTTTCAATTTATTTTTTCTTCTTGTGACGTGATGTGACTTTTTGTGTCTCCATCAGAATTCAATTCGTTTTCTTCTTTAATATTAAAAACCGAGCTAGCTTTACTTATTTAACAATGCTTGATTGCTTGGGAATCATGCTGAATATATTTTGAAAAAAATATTTAATTTTTTAAATGATATAATTTGTGTCATTTTATTCTTACAAAGAGGTTAGATTCGTATCTTTATTTTTTTTTAACTATTTTTCCATAATCTATCTATTTCTATCACTTAAAATGACACAACTTTATATTTTTTAAAATAATACATACTTTTTTCATATATTTTACTTTTACATTAGGTAAGATAATAAAATTAAAGTGTAAATATAAAAATTATAAATAAATGAGAAATTAACTTAAATATGAGATAAAATATGTATAAGCAAACGTGAGGAATATTACCTACCTTATTATAATTGATCCTTTGACGTGATGAGTTAGACTTGAAAAGAACTAGACTCTTGTTTAGAGTCGGCAAAATGGGCTTGACTTGGTAGATCAACATGTCTAACCTGTTAAACAGGGTGGACTGAGTTTTTCAACTCATCTCAAAAGCGGGGCAGGGTGGGACGTGCTCATTTTTTGGCGGGTTGTTGGCGGGCATAAGCAGGCCGAGGCGGACCAGTGTAAAATAGGCTCGGACTGGCGGGTTGGGCCAACCCGTCCAACCTGCCAAACGGGACGGGACGAGCTGAGTTTTTGAGCCCTCTTTCAAAAGCAGGGTAAGACGGGCTGACTTATTTTTTAGCGAGTTAAGGGCGAGGCAGGACAGGGTGGGGTGGGGTGGGGCAGAGCGGAGCGCCCACTTTGCCACCTCTAGTCTTGTTTAATTTTATATATTTGTTATTAAGTTTTGACATCTAGAATCAGTTTTACGTATTATATCAGGTGTTTGATTTTAATTTTTTTTATAAAGAAAACAAGTAAAATCAAATATTTTTAATATTAATTATCTTAAAAACAATTTATTAAAATTTAAAACAAGCAGAGTCTATACTGGGATGCACATTGGTCATTGGATATATAACTAGGTTTACGTTTTTATTTTGGGGGAAGGGGGGAATTAGTTTGGTAAGGGTAGTTTAACAGAGTCGGGTATACTCATTTATCAGGGATACTGCTGGCATTAAAAAGCGGCTAGGTAAGTGAAATAACTCAATTGAGTTACTTCATCTGCTATTTGGGTCCCATAGATCCTGTTAAGACACACGATACACCACACGTACGAGTAGCAAATTCAAAGAATCCGATTTTCTTACTTTCCTTGCATCTTACCAATAATGTTTTTCTTTTTTATATATTTTTTATTTTTCTGTCTCTCTTCCGAACACAATTGGTCATACAGAAACGTTATATATAATTATGGAGATTAATTTTTTTTATTCTACTTGTTATACACACAATATATGAGTGGGACCTACAAAAAAATAAGAAACAAACAAATAAACATGAGACTCAACTTTTAATTGTAAGTGTAATATGAGAAAATTTTTCATTTAAAATGAGAAAACTATTTTTCTATAATTATATGGGAAAAACATTGGTCCCTTTAAAGAATATAATTTTATGTCATTTTATATCTTAACTGTTGATTTTCGTCGATATATGGTTATAATTTATGAGGAGGGATATTCTTACTACTAAAATTTTCTACTACCAACTCACTACCTATCTAATCACTATTGGATCAACATTTTCTCTTTTTTCAAATTTTTTTTATCATTCTCTCTCTTTGATTCAATGGTGATTAGATAGGTAGTAAAAAAATTTAATAGTAAGAATATCATTCCTCATAATTTATTGGATCAAACATTTATGATTAATTAGTAATTCACAATAAATTATAAACGTTGATTCACGAAAATCAACGGTTATGATTTAAAATTACACAAAGTCATATTCTTTACAAGGATAAATGATTTTCCCTAATTATATAGGGCTTTATTAATCTGTTGTAGGAGAGTAGTTCTCTCCTACCATAGACACAATCATGAGTAGGGGTGTGCATGGAGCGGTTCTGTTCCATTTTTGACAAAAATCGAACTGAACTAGTTTTAAACAGCTTGGTTTTGAAACAGAACCGATTTTCTTTTTTTAAAAGTTGGTTTTAATTGTCCAAACCGATTTGAAACTGGTTCCAAAACTAGTTTATGGTTTATAACCGATTTTGATTTAAAACTGGTAAAAATCGGTTTAAATTTTAAAACCGATTTTAAATCAAAACTTGTTATGAACCATAAACCGGTTATCAAATTCAAAATCGGTTTTTGATGAGTTGTGCTATTTTTTTTAAATAAAATAAAAATACCCCTTCTAAAATATAAGTGAAATTTGAATAGAACTGACAACTGAAGCAGAATCCATCATCCTAATTGACATTTCAAACTGTTCTTTCTGTGTGACAGAGATGTCTAACCTAAGGTTAGTAGGTCAATATGGGACCAAACTCTCTCTAAGATATCCCTGAAGTAGATATCTAGAGATGGAATGTCACTGCCAAAACTAATAACGACATAAGTTAATGGGGTGGTGTGTGTGCACAGTGACAACATAACAGTAAGAGAGAGATTAGATCAAACATGTAGGTTTTACCTCCTATTTATAGAGTATTACTTGTGAGTATATGAGTTTTGGGCCTTCTATTCACAAGCCAAAATGTCCTCTTGCATAGCTATCATTTGATTGTCTTTTGTTGGGCTTTTAGATATACGGGCCTTATGTAGGTCCATAATAGTTGCCCCCCAACCCAATAGCTTGGTTGGAGGGTGCACAATGTCTTTAAAACCACATCTTTGCTTAGCTTATAATAGCCGAGATACCCTATTTGCGTGACTGGATTAAATTCTGGAATATCACATTCCTATATTTAGCATAGTTATTTTTAAGCTCTGCCCCAAGCTTGCTTTATCTTCAATTTATAGCCACATCTCGTCGTTTCCCCAAGCCGAATAACTTGAGTATTCAAGGTATTGGGATGCATCATTTCAAGTTCGCTCTTATCAGTGACTTGCATAGCCGGGGTGATGCCATTTCCCATAAATTTCTAACTCAGCTACTCAAGGCTCTGGGTTGTATCCTCAACTTTGCTTTGCTGAATTAACCACATCATTTGAAGTATATTTTTTATACTAGTTGTTATTCCTCAGATCTCGTATGGTCAGATCAAGGATCAAGTTTTCCCTTTGACATCTTTATCGTTGCAAGTCATGATGATGCCTTTTCAGGTGGCACTTCCTGATTCGTTTAACGTGGAATTACAAACCGATACACATCCTTTGCATTAAATGCAAATTGTTAGATCGTCCCTCAACCGTCTTGTCTTCCATAGAACATTACTATTTTTCCCTTGCCTTTTTGTTTCACGGGTGTTAACAGTTTGTTTTTTTCCTTCCTCATTTACCTTGCTTTATTCTCATTTTCTTCACCTGCTCGTGTTTTTGCTTGCTGATGTTTTCACTTCTGAGGATTCTTTGCTTCTTCACCTTCTTCCGACGCTTCTTTATTCTTACTACTCCTTCAACTTTTTCCACCAGGTACCATTCATAACGTATATTGGTAACCTGTTCATATGCTCTTGTATACTTTTTGAATGATGATTTTTGATATTATTGTGGATTTGTTTATGAATGCTGATGTGTATCTTTAAGCATACCTTCTTTTGTGTTATACGTTTTAGGTATGCCTGATTTTGGGTCTTGACTATAACTCACTCTTGCTCCCCCTTTTAAACCTATTTTTAGTATGAGTGAGGGAAGCTCTAGTGGAGGGGCAAACCAACCTGTCCTCGTGGCTTCGGCCGAAGTGATGAGATCAATGAGGAAGAAAAAAGGTTCATCCAAAGTCTTTCTCCAGGTCTAAGATATTGGATTCTTGGAAGACCTCAGAACGAAGAAGAGAAGTGAGCTACAATATTGCGGGGGTATGGTGGTGGAAGGGGTGCCAAAAATCTGGATCCCAACCATCTTCAAGCCGAGGTCAGGAACAACGTAGAATCAGTACTCAAGATATTATGATAGCTAAAAGATCGACCTCGGAGATGGCAGAATCATCATTCTTAAGTCCTCCTACTAGCACCCCTTATGGGAACGTCCATAATCCTGATTACCAACCAACAATGGAAATGCCTTTTCCAGTTGTAAATACTAGCTCAACTAAGCTGAGCTCCGAGCCTTGCTTTTCTTGCGTATATTTGGGTGCCAAATTTATTTAGCAAGGCAACGATTTCATGGCTGATGTAGTCTTAGGTAGTTGCACCCGTCTAGATAAAACTCAGGAGTCGGGTCCTATTTTTGATAGTGTAGATCCTGCTATTGATATCTCATATGATACTCCTAGCTCATCCAGTAGTATTTTATTTAGTTCAGGTACATGTACCTTTTATTTTAATCTTCGAATTTTCTTTTTCTAGATTTTTATAGAGACACCTTCTGCAGAAGTAGGAATAAAGGTAACTCTTGCTGATCAAGGATCAACACTTCCCAACGTTGACTTAATCAGCCAATACCCCTGGGTGACTTCTGAGGTATTAAGCTTCAGGTCGAATATGAGCGTTGAAGATATATTCAGGCTTCCTATTGGCAACACGGTTGGATTCAACGTGTTCCCACCTGTAAAGAACGAACAGGCCTGCTCATGGAGAAATTCAGAGGAGCCTATTTCCTTTTTCTTTTACCGGGATCTGGTCACCAATGTCGGACTCTGATTTTGTTTTTCGAAGTTCCAAATAGACCTTTAAACCATCTTCGCCTTGCTCCCACTCATTGTTCCTTCCATCTCAGCATATTTAATCTTTCAGCAGAACTAGAGCTAGATGTTTCTTATTCCTTCCATGCAGAATTACGCTTCCTATTAGTCCTCTATAGTCTTCCTAACTCTGATTCGTAGTATAAGGTACTAGGGTCAATAGTGCCTTGCAACTGCATAAAACAGAGAAACTAAGAAAAATAGGTCCACACAACTTACAGAAATAAAACAAAATAAATAAAAAAGATCCAATCTATGATTTAATAGATATTATTAATGTTGATAGCGCTCAATCCCTGGCAACAACGCCCAAACTTGTTGCAATCACGACAAGTAGCAGTTGTACAAGTAATAAATTGATAAGTAAGATATCCTTCCCACGAGGATTGGTCTATCAAGCAATATCTATGCAATCAAAGTTGGATTAACCGTAAAAGTTGTTGGGAATATGATTGAAATATAAACCACAAACTAAAACTAACAATTAATTAACAAGAACAATAATCAAGAACCAAGAATAAATGACGATGTGAAATAAGGATGCAAAGCATAACTAGGGTGTTGATTTCCCTAATATCTTCCTAATGAATCTTCCATTTCCTATATATTAGATCAAATTGTATATATTAATTATTGCTTAAATTTTTGAAGAGTACTTTATATATTTGATTCATATAATAGATAACTTAAAATTTTTATTTTATTTTTCATATATATATATATATATATATATATATAATTGGCAGGATTAAAAATATAAACATGTCAAAGATTATTATTTGGCCTTTGGCAATATATGAATCTCAAACCTAATACTTACATTTTGGTTCAAATACCATATATAATGTTTAAAAATGATATATTTATTATTTAAAGCGTCATTTTTGTTTGAAATTTGACTTATGATAACTTTAACATATCAATATGCTCTTAATTGATTAAAGTTGATGTCTTACATGAAAGTTTAACTTTAACATGGTAGAACAAAAAAAAAACTTTAACATAGTATAAGTGTGTTAAAAAAACTGGATCGAACTGACCTGGTCGATCCAAAATTGGTAAATCGATTATATAATTGGTCCGAATTTCATATGGGATCTTATATGTAATAGAACCGATGCCAACTCGCCGATTTTTTTAAAAAATCAGTGACTTATCCAAACCGGTCGGCTCGTAATTTTTTAAAACAACAACACAGACAATGATCCTATCTCAGTAGACATATGTATTTAAAACAAAAATTATGGAGTAATTTATTTTTCTTCTTACCCAACTATGAACTCGAGTAGAGAGAAAGAGGACAAGTTAGGGAGCAAGGGTTGAAAATGAGATCTGATAGTAGCTTGTTTCCTTTTAAAATAGAGAAAAAAATAAAGGGAATGGAGCTCATAGACACACACACACACAGAGTCTTACCAGTTACCGGTTTGGACTTGCAGCGGGCATTGTGCAAAAATCACCAGAATGGGTAAAGGCTTAGGGCAAGAAGGGAACAACACAAAAATAGTTTTTCTTAGAGTAAACACCCTTTTTGGTCCCTGGCAATATCCACGAAGTCTTTTTTAGTCCCTGGCAATAAAAAAGGACCAAATTGGTCCCTAAAATTACAAAAAACGGGACACGTTAGTCCTTCTGTCAACTCCTCCGTCACTGTCAAACTAACGGTGCCCATGTGGCACGTTATCTGCTGATGCGAACTGGACGGTTGACACGTTGGAAAGCTGAACGACGACGTTTTAAAGCAAATGGGTTGCAACGTGTGTAATGGAGAGGCCGATGTCGTTTCCTCTCTTGATAATGAACCCTAATAATGAAAAAACCCCAAATTCCTTGAATCGGACCCTAAATCGGAAACTCCATCCCCCAAATTGATGAGCAAATCCCTAAACAGCAATACGCCCCCAAAATGTCTGCACTTTGATGATTGAAACTCCACGATAGTAAAACCCATCAACCAGATTTCTGGGTGTGGGAGAAGATGAGTGTTTCTTCTGGCATGGGGGGATCAAGTATGAGTAAATCAATGGGGGGAAGAACAATGACAAGGACCGTCGGTTGGAGGTGCAAATGTGGGAGACAAAGTATTGTCTATACCTCCAAAACTGAGAGGAACCCAAACAGGGCTTTCCTTGGATGTCCTAATTTCAAGGTATGAATTTGTAATCTGCCCCTTTATTGAGTTGGAACACTTGCTAACCGTGGTTTTTTTTTTTTTTTTTTGCAGGAGAAGAAGCCCTATTGTGATTTTTTTAGATGGGTAGATGACATGTGTAATGAACCCATGGAGCTGGAAGAAGCAAGAATTAACACTGTGGAGTTGGATGTTGCTGAAATTAACTTCAAGTTGAAATATGTGGAGATGATGATGAGAGAGCAAGATGTGAAGATTACTGAGCAAGGAATGAAGCTTCATCAGCAGGAAAGAAAACTGAATGATGTATACCTGAAGATGGTGGAGGAGTTAGATAGGATGGACAAAAAAATTAGGATAATTGATAGGTCAGCTAGGGTCTTAGGTGCTTGTGTTGGTGTGATCATGATCTGTATGTTTGTTGTTAGTGTGGTAAAAGTGAAAACAAGTGACCCAAATGTATTTTCCCTTCAGTAAATTGTAATGAGTACTCCTTCTTTATGTGTTAGTGCCAATCTGTTTATGTGTATTATCATATGGCTATTATAAAAAAGCCTTGAATGTATTCCTCTTTTTGATTATGGCATCATATATTTGTGCCTTGGTGAAATGCTATACTGGATGCTAAGTTTTTGTTATTATGGACTATTGCATAGTTAGGCATCGATTGAAGGATAAAAGATTGCTACATTGTTTCACAAATAGATATAGATTGCTACTGATATAGATGCATAACTCATGACATTGCTGATGCAGAAGTTGCATACTGTTATGCATATTTTGTTACTGATTCCAGAACACGAGGACCATTTAGGTCCCTGTCAATGTTACACGAGGGTCGTTTTGGTCCCTGACAAAGTGGACAGGGCCCTTATTGGTCCCTGATTCCAGAATTATAGGACATGAGTTCTTGATGTCCAAATTCTGGTTATGCAGCACTCATTTTAAAAAACAGTAGTGCATTTTTGCAGATATTATGTTGTCCTTGACTTATATGCCTTGCCATCAGAAATGCACTTAACATCAGAAATACAGTATGTAAGGGTCCAAATTGGTCCCTCACAATGACTGTCAGGGTCCTAATTGGTCCCTGCAACCAGAAAATTGGGCATGATCTGTTTTGCCAGAAACATTAAACAACCTGCACCAGAATGCAAATATGGCAGGTAAATGCAAATATGGCCATATGGAATGACCAGTAACCAGAAAATATGGCCAGCACAAACCAGTAACCAGAAAACCATAACACTATTCACATGCATCATAACCAGAAAATTTGACATTCATCAACCCTGCCACATAACATGCATAACAAGTAACACATAATTGTCTTCCTAGAACTAGAAACCAGTAGTGTATTACAAATAAAAGCCAACTAATAGGAATCATAAGTGAGGCCTATAAATACAATATGGCCATGCATCAAAAAATTTACATTATATCCAACACCCTAAAGGCCTCCAAAAACAAATGGTCAGAATTTACAAAAAAATCCCATTATATCCACTCCTTGTCAGTTGGCTCATGCACTACTCCCTTGTTCTTCTTCATCAGCAGCTCATTTTCTTGAGGATCGCCTTGGTGGCCTGAAACCAGGTGTTGTCATGAAGTGCATAAATCTGCTTCGTGTGCCACTGCTTGCTGCCTTCATTGTCTCTTCAGTCAACACTGCATTTGCTTCTTCTGGATTTGAAGGAGGTGGGCTGCCTCTTCTCAAGTTGCCTTGATGTGGTTGCTGAGAACTACCAACTTCTGAAGGGCCTCCTTGACTTAATGAGATTTCATCTACTGAGTCAGTGCCAATCCTCACAGATTGTGGTCTTGCTTGGCTTTTATCTGTTTTGGAAGCTGGTGGCCCCTTACAACTCTTGGCATAGTGTCCAGTCTGACCACATTTAGTACACTTGGCTTCATATGTCCTTTTGACTTTCTTTGTCATGCTCTCTTGGTCTTCAGTTGGGTCCTTCTTCCTGTGTTTCTTGGGACGCCCAATTGGCCTTTTAAGTTTTGGTGGAAGAGGTTTGGGTTCATCAGATGCAGGCCAATACTTGTCCGAATTCACTGGGTTTAAGGTGTGCGCATATGTGGCATGCAATGCATCCACTGTAAGCCATTTATGGACATAGTTCTCTGCTGGCTCGTTTTTGTGACAAATGGCTGCTATAGCATGCTCACAAGGCAGTCCAGTCAACTGCCATGCATTGCATGCACATGTATGTGTTGTTAAATTGACTCCAACTCTTTCACATTTCCCACTGACCTCATAGATATCTTGCTGCAAATTTCTAGTCCAAGTGGGTGTCCATGAATTGCTAAGTACCTTTAACTGATCCAGTTTCTTTTGCTGAGCAGGAGCAATTTTACCCCGAACAGTTCCTAACACCCTCTGATGTGCAGCCATCCTTCTCATAATGTAGCATCTCAGTTCCTTCAATAGAGTGATGATCAGTTTTGACCTATATCCAACAATCTTGGCATTCCATACCTCTGCCATGTTGTTTGTGATATTATCACATTTCGGCCAGTGGCTAAAATAAGCTTTCACCTAACTTGAGGGCTGAATGTTATCCAAGTACTTCCATGCAGCCTCATTCTTCCCTTTCAATCGTGCCATTGACTTCTGAAACTGTGGGACAGTGGTGCATCTTGAACATTCCCAGAGCATGGCTCGAATTGCCTTGTCTTTCCATTGCTTTATGAAATTCTTCCAAACATGCTGCACACAAAAACGATGATATGCACCAGGCATCACCTCTTACAGTGCTGGAATCAGCCCCTACACACAGACAAAAAAAAAAGGTATCACATGGCAATGTTACTCGAGGGTCGTTTTGGTCCCTGACAAAGTGCACGGGCCCATTGGTCCCTGACTTATAGAAATATGTGAAGGAAAAACAGAAATGCACATCAGAAATGCACTGCATCATAAACAAATGTTGTCCATGCACTTAACATATGTAGGGGTCCAAATACAAATAAACCAATAAGCAATATAGTGAGATCAGAATGCACTATGAAGGAAAAACAGAGTAAACAAATATGTGGCTGAATACTAAAGCAAGTTCAAATGAAATAAGCTTAACAAACTTTCTGTTGGTCAGAAATAAAATTCCACCCAAACACTGCATTAGGGCCAATGTCTTCCTGTAACAGGGTTAAAAACCACTTCCATATCTCTTTTGTTTCACTATCTACAACTGCATATGCGATGACATAGAAGCTTTTGTTGGCATCCTCCCCAACTGCACTTAACAATTGACCTCCATAATATCCTTTCAAGAAACATCCATCCAAACCAATTAAGGGCCTGGAGCCAGCTTTGAACCCTCTCTTGCATGCATCCAGACAAATGTACAACTTAGAAAATATGGGTGAGGAGTGCGGACCAGGTTGTGGGATCACTTGCATTTGACATGTAGACCCGGGATTGCTTCTCAATAGCTCACCTAAGTAGTCTCTCAATTTTGCATACTGTTCTTTTTCACACCCTTCTATTTTGGCCTTGGCTTTATGAAGTGTCTTGGTCACTTTCTTCAAATGGACATGAACTTTGTACTCTTCTTTCATGTGGTCGTAGGCCTCAGCCCTTGTCATGTTCGGCTGTGTCATTTTAGCCTTTTTTCTAATTTCTTTGCAACCCATTCCCTACTTGCCCTCTTGTTTCTAAAAAGTATGCAGCAAGTGTGGATGTCATTAAAAGTTTTGACTTGGAAAGCTGTCATCTTGTTGTTCCACGCACAGTAAATCATCCAATCACATTCATCACTACTACACTTTGCTGGGGCTCTGACTTTGTCATTCTTCAGTCACTTGAATTGTCTTCCTAGATCAATACTGTAGTCTTTGACAGCATTTTTAAATTCTTGACGACTCACAAACTCCTTCCCCAGCTCTAAGTGTACATGACCAAACTTCTCATGCACATTAAACTTTGAATTGACAACCTTTTCCTCCTCCTCAGCACCACTTGAAGGAGGCGTGTTCAACTCTTCAGAGTTATACCCATACCCACCTTCCTCGAAAGACATTGACTTCTCCTCCTCATCCATTGTATCTTCCCCTGCCACATCTTCAACCTCCTTTTTTTCTTATTTTTTTTGCTTTCTTTTTCCAGCAGCTTTACCCTTCCCCTTGCACTCCTCTTCACTCTCTGTTTCTGTATCATACATAGGTGGAGGAGGTTTATATGGCTCATTCTCCACACTATCATCTGAGTCAGTAGAAAACTCATCACCATCTCCACTATCATCCTCATCACTATCTCCACTATCATCCTCAATACCACCTCCACTATCATCCTCGTCCTCATCACTGCCTTCCACGGGTGCAAGTGCAATAATATCAGGGATGGAAATGCAATGATCAAAATATATTTTAATGAAGTTCCCATTACTTAATGCAGCCTTTAGCATCTCCACAATATCAGAGTCTGTATTCAGAGGCCTTAAACCACTGTCTAAATCCATTGCGTTTTGCATGAGCCACAACATCTGATCACATTTCTCATACCCATATCCCTTGAACAGAGTATCAAGGTCACGCAGGTTGACGAAGTCAGCATCCATCTCAGGTAAGTCATCCACTTTGCCATTTACATAGGTTAGGACCCCTTTATCATCTCTCTTCAACACACCCCCATGATGATACCTTATCACTATATATTCATCCATCTGAAAGAAAAAATACACCATGACAGTTACTAGCCATTTGCAACAATTCTATTTTAACAACTTCCATAAACCAATCATATTTTCACAACAATTCTAGCCATTTGCATATATAAATCAAGAAGGGAATGTTAACACACAGGGCTGTAAATTGCAACAAAAAAATCTCACATTTACAATAAGCTTAACAATTACAATAAATTCATGCGAACATCAGGGTCCACAAAGCAATTTGACAATGCCAATAACCATATACATCACCCTCAACACTGCCGTGTAACCATAAAACCCAGTAACGTGCAAAAAAATTTCACCTTTACAAATTATACATGCACTAAAAAATTGGGGACCACAAAGCACTAAAAAATGGCAATAAACTATACAAACTGGTAGTGAGGGGGACCACATACATAAAAAACGTATTTTTTTGGTAAAGCCTAACCATAATAACACACAATGGAGCGCACATGGGGGACCATCATCCAACAAAGAATAGACAACATGAAGTGAGGGGGGACCACAAATATTGAAGAATTTCTAAAAAAAACTTACCCTAATGCATATAAGAAAACTGCCACACTCGAACTTCCTTTCACCACCACAGAACCAGCCTTTCGACAACCTTCAATGACCACGCTTGATTGTCTTCCCTGCAACCACGGTCTTCGACAACCCTCGTCGTTCAACGAAGTTTCCAGTGGAGGTCAACAATGGTGTTCCAATAATATGCAAAGACTTAGTGAAATAAGAACGACTCTCCACGGTAACTTGTGTTGATGCCTCTTGTTTTCATAAATATAAAACGACATCGTGCAGAAAATTGGAAAGCTATGTACCTTTTTGGAAGAAAACGTCGTCGTTCAGCGTTCCAACGTGTCAACCGTCCAGTCAGCGTCAGCAGATAACGTGCCACATGGGCACCGTTAGTTTGACCGTGACGGAGGAGTTGACAGAAGGACTAACGTGTCCCTTTTTTTGTAATTTTAGGGACCAATTTGGTCCTTTTTTATTGCCAGAGACTAAAAAGGACTTCGTGGATATTGCCAGGGACCAAAAAAGGTGTTTACTTTTTTTTCTTATTTTGCAGAAATGGAATTGTAAATTTAAATTTAAATTTTCCAACCAAAGGCCTGAGAAAATGGACTTGCCAGGCTTTTGATGCAACCTACTCTAATTTTCAAACGAGTATTTTTATGTAAATTTTCAATTTAATCCTTAAAATTCATTAGGATCATTAAATTGGTCCTTTTTTTCTCGAGTTTTACTACTAATACCATTAAAACATATATATTTTTTAGTAGTCAAATTTAAATTCACAAAAATGGTTAATACATTTTACACCCTAAAGTATGGAGAATGATATACTTACCACCAAAAATTTTTATCACCTTTACAACTAACCTAATCACCGTTAATTTCTGTCAATCTAACGGTTATAATTTATTGAAAATTATTTGGTCGCATTTATTAATTAATTATTAATTCCAAATAAATTCAATAAATTATAACCGTTAGAATAATAAAAATCAACGATGATTAGATTGGTTGTAAATGTGGTAAACGTTTTTGGAGATAAGTATATCCTACCCCTAAAGTATTGTCATTTCATCACCTTACTTTTTTTTTTTGCATTAAACTAATTAATTTACTTACACATAAAACTATACTTCAAAAAAGTACAGTTAATAATAAATAAACTTTTAACAAGTTAAGCAATAAAAAATTTTGTTCACGTGGTCACAAGTGACAACAAGAGCATGTATCTTTTGTTGTTTTCGAGTCTGTTTATTTATTTTTTAATTAAAAAATACAATGTCGTTGAATTGAAGGCAAAACTGCTCTTCTTCTAAGTCTCTTTGGGGTGTTTGGTACGAAGAATTTAATAGGAATATAAGGAAAGTGGGGTAGGGAAAGTATAGTAACTATGTTTGGTATGGTTTCAACTTAAAAAATATCGGTATATTTTTCATCCCATGCATTTCGTTTTCAACTGAGGAAGGGAAAAAAATATGCAGTTTGAAGTATGGTATTTTTTTATTCTGAGTAATGGAGAAACCCATTTTACAAGTTGTGGACTAAAATGTCTCGAAAAAGTGGATGTCGTACAACTTCTGAAGTATCAAATTATAACAACTTATATGAATCGTCGTTAGTCGCGAGCCAAGGTAAGTTTTTAAATTATAACACCTTGATTACGAAACGCAGGATGTTCTACTCCATTAATTTTTTTTAATAATTTATTACTTATTTTTTATTATTTTAATTTTTGAAATATTTTTATGAACTATTTTAGTTTCTTTGTAATACAAAATATTAATACCTTAGTTCTTTGAATTATTTTATACTAATTTAATTCTTCAATATATCAAATCTCAGTATTTAATTTTGTAATCATGCAAAATGTTATCAAATTAATATTTAAATTAGGATTCATTTACCATCATTTTTCTCTAACCCATTTACCATCATTTTTAACATTTAGGATAATTTCATAATTTCATAACACATTCCCATTAATATTTCATCATCAACCAAACATAGCATTAGTAAAAATAACTCAACTTTTTCGGCAAATTTTTTGCTTACCAAACACTTTTTCGTAACTTACCCGAGCAAAAATATTACCATCATATTCAGAGAATTTTTTTTTCTCAGCAATAAAAAATTTCTCTCATACCAAACAACCCCTTAGTTTTATTGGTGTGATTCTTATGGATGGAAATGTTTAAGATATTAAATGTATAAGGACAGAACAAATATTGTATGTTACTTTGATCCTTTGTTGGACAAAGATATATAATTTATTATTTTCATATTTGAATATTTGGAATAAATATAACTTTTTACATGTATTTCAGTATATTTATAGTTTTTTTAATATACATTATAGATTTACATATACTTAACGGGTCATGCAATTTAACTAGTGACCCACTGGTTGAACTAGAGACCCATTATCTAGACCGGGTCGAGTTTACTAACATTAGGTATGACTCCATTTGTTTGAATGACATGACAAAATAAGTTAAACCCGATGAGTCAACCTGTCAACCAACCAAAACAAGGCGGATTGGATAGTATATTTCCACCCACCAACCCAAATAACCAGCCTATATGCGGAGCCAGTTAAAACGGGACTTAATAGGTGGAGCGGGTCAACCCACATGTAATTTTTTTAAAAATATATATTAAATATTGGATTATGGCTTGATTGATCTATGTGAATGATTATTATGTGAGACAACTTTTCATTTAAGGTCATAATGTTATTATTTCACTATGTAAATTATTTTTTATTCACTTTTGATTCGGCTGGAAAAGTGATTATCACAAACAATAAAAGAAACTTAAACTTGTTTTTGGATTCAAATGCCAGTATCTATACAAATCAAATTAAAGCTTATGAAATTCTAATTAGAGGATGCAATTATGTGTTCATTTGTAAATATTTACATGTTTGATGTCATTATTTTGTTATATAATAACACTAAAATTATTAATTAATCTTAAGATATGTTTTATATATTTTGTTAAATGGAATTATTGGTTTAAATTATCCTTTTGTCTTTAACTTATTGCTTGATGGGTTTTTTAAACTTGAGAAATATTTAGATGTTAGAGCTTAGAAATAAAAGATTAGCATTAATATGTTTAATTTTTTAAATATTTTATTTTTTAGGCGAATTGACGAAATTGGTATTTTTAATCCACTTGGGCCAACGATTCTATTTCCCTCACTTCAATTTATGCGTAATAACTTAAAGATTAATCCAACAAACCATATTATTGCATTTCCCGTAATTTGCCACATTATTATCAATTCGTAATAAATAAATAAATAATAATGATATAAAATTGCTAGAATAATTAATATTAGGATATAATAATGCCTATTTTTTATGGGAAAAAGATTATCAAGTCGCAGTATACAGGTGTCAAAACGGGCTTAGCAACTTGATAATGCCATTATCACCCGGAGCAAAAAAATGGAATGAGATGAGTAGATAATCAGATTCAGGGATAAACGCCATCATAAACAAGGAAGGAGATAGAAAATTCACTCTGCTTTCTGTTTACAGCCAGTTGATCTTCAATTGAATTAAATAAGGAAGAGCAAGATGTGATCAATGGTTTTATGATGAAAATTTCCTTAACAGTATTCTTGATCTTTGGGAGTTCTTAATCATGTGGTAACAATTATTTTGATGAGATTTCACCCTACTAATAAAGTTATACTTCTGCTGATAACTCACTGTACTCATATCTTCATCTCGTTACTTAATCTATTTAAAACCAATACTAGCTCTTTCATGGGAAGTTCAGATGATCCTCCAGCTGAAAATTCTTGAACTACCCCATTGATTTCAATCATGCTACATCCTGGTATTTTCTTTTTTATTCTTCTTTCTTTCATCAAATTCCTAATTCTTTTGGCAGCATCAAACCTGCCAGCTTTGGCATATATATCACACAAGTTCATATAGAAAGCATGATTATGAGGTTCCAAGTTTATCAAATGACAAGCTACCTTTTCTCCTAATTCTACATTCCCATGCATTTGACAACCTCCAAGTAATGCACCCCAGACATAAACATCTGGCTTCATTGGCATGATTCTTATGAGAATCTCTGCCTCATCAAAGAGCTTGGCTCGACTAAGAATATCAACCATGCAAGCATAGTGATAAACTTGTGGTTCAATTAAGTAAACATGTTTCATTATATCAAAACACCATCGACCTTGCTCTACCAAACCAGAATGAGCACAAGCTGACAATAATCCAACAAATGTGACATGGTTCGGCTTTACTCCAACTCTTTGCATCTCTAAAAAACAATCAAAAGCATTCCAACCAAATCCATGAAGAGCGAACACAGAAATCATTACTGTCCATGCTGAGGCATCCTTCTCAGGCATTTCTTTGAAGATCTCAAATGCTTGCTGCACATGCCCACATTTGCCATACATATTCACCAGTGCTGTTCCAATTACCACATCACACTCTATGCCATTTCTTCTCAGATAACCATGCACCCATTTACCATGGTCTATAGCACCAATTTGAGCACAAGCTGAAAGCACACTAGCTACTGTAATCTTATCAGGTTTAACCACATCATCATCACTCAGAAGCTGCATTTCATGGAAAAGTTCCAGCGATTCCTTTGCCCTGCCACCTTGAACCAACCCTGTAATAATCGAATTCCAAGTTATGATATTCTTCATATTCATCTTCCTAAACAAATCCAATGCCATGTCAAGTCCTCCATTTCTCAAGTACCCAATAACCATTGAGTTCCAAGTGACAACATCTGTAACCAACATTTCATCAAACAACTTCCTGGCACTATTTAACAACCCACAAGTCATATACAAACTGATCAAAGAATTCCCAACAAAAACATCGTTCAAAAATCCAAACTTTATCACATGGGCATGAATAACTTGGCCAGTAGCACCATCCAGCCACCTAGTGCAACCCTTTACAAGGAAAGGAAAAGTAAGGCAATTGGGCACAAAGCCCTTGCAAAGCATTTGCTTAAACATCATCAATGCCCTGCAAAAAAGGGTGTCATCACCTCCTTCCATGCCTGCATATGCTCTGATCATGATGTTGTAGACACGAAGATCTGGGTTCTTGATCATACGAAAAACATTGGTAGCATAGCTGAAAGAACCATAATTGGAAAAGGAGCAAAAGAAAAGGAGACGGGTAATGAGATAATATTGGTCACCAGTATGTAAAGTTGGGGACTTTAGAATCTGGGTATGGATTCTTTTGAGCTCTCTCAGGTTCTTGCATTCTTCAATCAATCTAGAGAGTATGATCTTGAGCCTACTGGATCCCACAGTTCTGAACTCAAGGAGACTAACCATAACCATGATCATGAACTGACAACAATAAAGCACAAAAGTAAATCTCCCAACATCACTCTTGAATCAACCAAAATTGAACCACTGATCCAACAATGAAAGAAGTTCAATATTATGGATTCAATTTAAATCCAAGCCAAAGGATAAATCGAAGTCATTGGGCGATAGGGGCGGACCTAGGGGGCATTAGGGGAAATATCTTCTTTACTCGGTCATCATTTACTCAATTTAAAAAATATAATATATAAAGAGGAAGGATATTCTTACTACCAAAATTTTTTACTACTAACTAACTACCTATCTAATCACCGTTGAATCAAAGAGAGAGAATGTTAAAAAAAATTTGAAAAAAGAGAAAAAGTTGATAAAATAGTGATTAGATAGGTAGTATGTTGGTAGTAGAAAATTTCAGTAGTAAGAATATCTCTCCTCTATTTTCTTTACAATTTTACCCTTTTTTTAATGGTTTTTTTTTTTTTTTCTGAAAATTATCATTATATTTTACTTTTAGTAAAGGAGTACATACTACACTAGCACACCAAAGATGTGCTCGGCATTAGGAATGACCCCGCCCCTCCTTAAAATAAAAAAAAAATAAAAAAATTATATATACAAAATATTATTTTAATAATATTAGTGGATTGTCTATCTTTGTCCTACAAATTAACTCTCTCAAATTAAAAAATAAAAAATTTTAAAAGAAAATTTTATCCCCTCATCTTTAAGTAGGGATATAAATGGGTCACAAGTAAGGGTGCTAAACGAGCCAGAGGCCTTACAGGGGCCTCTGGCTCGACTCGTGAAGGCCTGAACTTACATGTCTAAAATCGATTGCTGGAGCAAGACTTGGACTTGTATAAAAACTCATTTAATAAAAAGGCCTCAGGCTTAAATTCAAAAGCTCGGCCTTAGAGCCTATCAGGCTGGCCTAATATATTAATTTTTATTTTTATTTTATATTTTTTATACTAATTGTGATAGCCATTTCTCTCTCTCAATTCATTTCATCCCATTTTATTAATTAAACATACTTTTTGAATGATTATGTTTTATATTATGCTGTTTGGATATACATTAAATTTATGAATATTTATGGAATTACTAGTGTTGTTGATTGTATATTTTGTTTGGATAAATTTTTGTTATTTTTTTTTTTAAATAGGCTAACAAGCTAAATCAGGCTTTTACTTTTTGTAAATAAGACAGGCCACAGGCTGAAATTATATTCGTAACAGGTAACAGGCTTGGTCAGGCCGACACATTTAAACACAGGCTTAGCCTTTTAAGACCAAAGCTCCGCTCGGCTCGGCACGTTAACACCCCTGGTCACAAGTCTATTTTAACATGTATGGTCTCTAAATATCTAGCTCAGTTCATATTTTTAATTAAATAATATTTCATTTTATTAATTAAAAATAAGCATTTTTTAACTTTATAATTTTTCTAATAAATAATATTTTGAGTAAACACCCTTTTTAGTCCCTGTCAATATCTACGAAGTCCTTTTTAGTCCCTGGCAATAAAAAAAGACCAAATTGGTCCCTGAAATTACAAAAAAAGGGCCATGTTAGTCCTTATGTCAACTCCCAAATATGTAGAGTGGCCCTTTTCTTGTACTTTCAGGAACCAATTTGGTCCTTTTTTATTGCCAGGGACTGAAAATGACTTCGTAGATATTGCCAGGGACTAAAAAGGGTGTTTACGCTAATATTTTTGTGTTTGACAAAATTGTCTATTTCTGACATTTTCATTAAAAAATATTATTTGACTTATAGGTGTTGTATGCATCTACGTATCTTGTTTTTGTTTGTTGAACATATGTTTATGTAATTATGTGTATGATTTATCTTTTTATTTGTTTCTCTTTATTTATTTAATTATTATTTGTTCAGAAGCAAAGGCCACATTGTTACTGAAATGATAAGCAGAAATAAACATATCAGTAACATATATTTTTATTATTGCAGATGACATTCATTCTTAATTTTTGTCACTTTCTTTTGTTCTTTTGTTTTTTTTTTAATTTCTATCTTTAAAGGTCTTTTTCGTGAATATTTTCTATTTTTTTAGTGGTTTCTGGTTAGATATTAATAATATTTTTAAAAACACATTGGTCATAGAATAATTCATGCTATTTGTAGGTGATTATTATAAGAAAGAGTGGTACGACTAATGCTTATTTTAGGAGAAAGAATGGTGAGTCTTCATCCCCGTCTACTCCTACTGTTGAATTATCAAATGTTGAGACCCCTCCTTCAAAGTCTCCTATAATTGAAAATAACGAGATACTCAAAGAAGTTTATCTTCCTTCATTGGAAAGAGATCTTGCGCTATGCCCTTCAATATGGAAATATACTATAAATCAACAAGATGAAATTCGCCGTACTTATTTTAAACTCGGTCCATTTCAGTGTAAATTCAAAATTATCCTTTGTCTGGGCTAGAGAAGAAGCGACGTCATTTTTGCTCTTGGTTTGATATGTTTCCTTCTTGGTTAGAGCATTCTCAAACTAAAGATGTTGCATATTGTTTGCCTCGTTACTTTTACTTCTATCTTTATTTTATTTATTTGGTAAACACAAAGGCCTAAGCCTAGACAAAACTGAAAAAGAAAACCAAACAACAAAGGAGAAACCTAACTCCTACACACCATAACTCTACCCACAGTGGCTAAGTCCGCAAGGAACAAAAAGTGGATTTTAAGTGGGGGATCCCACTAAATTTGCTAAATGACTTGATCTTCAGCGTCTCGAATAAGTTTGCCATCCAATTAGCACAGGCATTTCCCTCTCTGTATGTATGCATGAAGGCCACCAATGTAACACCCCGTCTCGAGCCGGTTTGTTAACTAACTTTATGGTCATAAAAACTTGACTTAGTTAATTAATTAGCGGAAGACTTCACTTTAATATCACCATAGATTACGACAGACTAAATGACGTAAATTTTTTTCTTTTAAAATCTATCACATAATTACCTTTCTATCTTATTAATTCTGATTTGTATTCTGATTATTTTGTTATTTAATTAGCAACTAAAAATAGTCACTAACATCTGCCCGAATATAATAACTAGTATTATTCCTGACAGAAAACGAACATGACGGCTGTAAATTGAACCTTTCCAAGGGACTACAATCCCACAAAATACACACAACTGATAAACAACAAGTCCAAAATATATCGAAAACTACATACAATCATAATCCATAACTGTAGATACATCACATCAAAAGATGGCTCTATCCCATAACTATGAAATCCTACGTCATCCTACATATACACAATACACCCTACTATCATAAATATACATATCTGCATATAGGCTAGTACAGCCTCAAAAGATAATCTGATAACTATGCCTCATCGAAATATCATACAGCCAAACTAGAGTAACATTTATACACAACAGACTCCTAAAATAAGCAGATAACATATATGCTCAGATCTACTCTTCAACCACAAGCTTCTTGCCCTTAGAACGGTCGCCAATAGCCGTGGTACCTGAAAAATATCCCTATAACGCGGGGTGAGATGAATCTCAATAAACTTGGGGTTTATGGAGCAGTCTCCACCTAAGAGTCCACTTCCTGCAAGAAAATATCAAGTACCAAACATAGATAACACCATATAATCCATATTAACAATTTCGTATCATATTCCTTTTCTGATAATTCTTACTTATTCTTATATCGTAATTTCTTATTAATCTTAAATTTGTTCATATCTTACTCGTAAGGTCTTCATCTTATTGTATATCTTATCATATCTACTAACATACTTATAATGATCAAAAAAATAAAGTTTCCTCGGCCATACCTTATGTACACTGTGATCATATCCTTACACGTTTCCACCGCTCATAAAACGTAACTTACACTTCCAAGACTATATCCTAGGGAAGATCATATCATATTAACTTATCATAACATTTCATAACATATCATAAATAATATCATATGTATGCACTATATGAATGCAACTATGCAAAGTATCAAAATTAACAACAGTTATATCCTTACGGAAACCATAATCGCCACTGATAATGGCGGAACAGCAAAAGACGGAGAAAACTCCTAAACCGAAAGCTTACCTGCATGCTTTCCGTTTCTACAACTGGTTTTTCACGAAGTCTATGAATTTTAGCTATCACGTGTAGTCCGTCTCACAGGGTTTGAATCTCTGGGATTCACACCTCTTGCTTTACACTGGTACCATAATTAACGTACTGTTAATGATAGTTTATTATATTATTTTGAGTAACCAACATTCTTTTGGTTATAAACATTCATTAACTTAGTGATTCCAACAATTCTTTATTATTACAATACATGCCATAGATACCTTCCTTTAAAGTACAAGTCATAATAGACCCTTAACTAGTTAGTTAAACTATTAACTTCTTATAAATATTTTTACCTTACATAAAGCTTAATAAATCCAAGAGTTAATATCTTTTTTGGTCCTCAGCAAATTTCACGATACCCGCTTTAGTCCCTAGCAAATAAAAAGGCCCATCGTGGTCCCTAAAAAAATTCAAAATGGACCTATTGTAGTCATTTTAGGGACTAATATGGGTCTTTTTTGAATTTGTAAGGGACCACGATTTCAACTAAATGGGTCCATTTTGAATTTCTTATGAACCACGATGGGTCTTTTTATTTGCTAGGGACTAAAAAGGGCATCGTGAAATTTGCTGAGGACCAAAAAGAGTATTTACTCTAAATCCAATTATTTTTATAAACATAGACAACCATGTCATATGTTCATAATCTACATAATTGTTAAACAATCGAACATATAGCCAATAAATCCATCAAGAAGATGAAATATCAATTATCACATTCCAAGCATACTTGTATCATATTCAATCACACTTACCATTTGCTACTAATTATTCATTCCCATAAAAAAAACACATTATATTTTTTTAACCATATATGGCCGAAGCTCATCTATCTATGTAAATTAACTTTTCTAATTTTTATGCTTAATTTTATAATCTTAATTCACACAAACATATCCCACAAATTCATTTACTTAACATGTATAGAAATACCATACATACTCATAAACATTAAATAATATAATTCTAAGATCCATACTTATATCTTTATAAATTGAATTATATCCTTCCCGTTATCATGAATTTTTATATATTTTCTTAATAATTTCTATTTACATCAACTTATAATATTTAAAGAAAAATCATAAATAATCATAACAAAATTCTAAAACTAAATAACTACATATATAGTATTCAAATAATTCCTTTTTAACTTACACTTACTAACCATCCACAATTTGCATATAATTTATAATTTCATTTAATCACATACGTAACACCAATACTTAATAACATAACCCAAAACTTCCTTATACAATCAAAATCCCATATTTTTCCCCCCCTTTTCATGTATAGATTCTCTTAAAATTATCTTACACATTATCAAACTCTCAATTTCTACAGAACCATAAAGACACCTATACAACAAGTAACTCAAATTATAACTTGGCATTTAGCAACCAAGTTAAAGTTCACAATTTTATCTAATCTTTACAACAATAATTTAATTCTTAAAACATAAGTACCTTTTACCACTTTGTACAACCACTTGGTCAAATTAAAAGAATAGTGATGTCTTTATTATAAACACTTCTTGAAAATTTATAAACTAAGAATGTGATAAAAAACATTAAACTATCTTACAATATATTTTAATCACATATTGACATAATTCAAACATGGATTATTTCACTTATCCTACAAGGATTTCACACTTTCTTTCATAAATTTTCCACTTACTTTATTTTAGGAGAGAGATAGACACAAGAAATGAAAATCATGGGAGAGAAAGTGAGTGATTTTTTTTAATTTAAATTTTAAATAAAAAAATAATTTTTTGTGTCTATCTCTCTCCTAAAATGACATAACTTTATCTTATTTAAAATGACAAACACTTTTTTCATTTATCAAACACCTAGGTTGCACCATTAATCATACAAAATCTGAAATTTACTTGGCACATATATCTTTCCTTTATTTTTGTTTTCAACACACCAACTTACATAGACTTCAAACAACCAATTATCAATCATGATTCATAAACTCTATCATTTTTATAAATACTTAACATCAAAACAGCCCCCAAACAACCATATAATTTCACTTGTAATTTCTAATCTAACACATCAAAAGAGTATAAATTAGTAAGGCTAACTTACCTATTCACAAAGAACAAATCTCAAAACTTCAAACCATGTAAAAATACATTTTTCCTTCCTTTTTTTTAAAACAGAGCGCTGCTGTATGAAGGAAAAAGAATGCTTTTCAAAACTTCTTTTCAAGCAAATAATGCTAGAATTGAAATCCTTACAAAAATCTACAAGTTTCATGAGGGCTATGAGTTAAAATTATCACTAGAACCTTACCTTTTGAGTGTGCCCTTTCTCCTTTGTGTTATTCGAATTCTTGCCAAGAGCTTAGTGCAACGTTCTTTTCTTTGAAAAGCAGGGAGAAGTTTCCATCGCATATTTAAAGCATAACTAGGCTTTAGTCACTTTTAACTTATACATGTTTTAACTTACCCTTTTTGCGCAATTCGAAATTTGAATTTGAATTTTGAAATTTTGAATTTAAATTTAAATTTAAATTACGAGTTAGGATAAAATTGAATTTGAATTTAATTTAAATTTAAGTTTGAAAATTAAATTCAGGAGGATAGGTTATTTAAGGATAAATTTGAATTATCCAAATCTATATCTAATAAAGATTGGATAAAGATTCTTTTTTATTTGAATTATAAATTTAAATAAAAATTGTTATAGCAACGATCAAGGGATTTGATGAAGATGGTAAAAGATTTGTTTTGGGATTCTTCAAGATCTTATGATCAAATCAAATCTACATAGATATGATCCATTGGGCTTGAATTTCAAATTCTAGCTCTTTCTTGGAAGGGAAATTGAGATGATATCTTTATGATTAAGATATATCCTAAGAAGATCTACCATATCTTTATGGATATGGCCTAAGTAGTGTTGTTCAATTAGGATTGTAAAACCCTAATTGCAAAGCATGAAAAGTGGTGCCTTAGTGTAAAGAAACACATGAGAAATTCGGTTAGCCTCCAAGAGCAAGAACCCTAGCTTTCTTGGCCACCCTTCCGTCTTATCAATCCTCCATTGTTGCGCCCCTCACCTAACCTCAAGACAACATCATAGTCTTGGGAAAAATAAATCTAAACCCTTGAAGCCTCCACCATGACATTGCCTAGCAAGCATACAAGGAGAAGGAGGATTCAAGGAGAAAGAGTTCTCATAAATAATCAAGAGACAATCGTGTGGATCAACGTTAGAGAACTGCATACACTTTGACCTGTTCGAGTGATCAAAAGCAATCCTAAACCCTATGTGTTTTAACGGGTAGATCCTAAGGCATAACTCATGAGGACCGTAAAGAGTTACGGGTTCCACATCATTAACAAAGATTGAAAATTTTTGTTTTTCACCCTCACGAGTATGTTCCTTAAACGTCAAGTAATGCAAATTTTAACTTTCGCTAACCAAATAGGTACAACATGTTAATCATTCAATGAACTCGACTAGCTTTGAGACAACAAAGTATTGCTAGTGCTTTGTCTTGTCATTAGATGGATTGAGGCTAGTGGGTCCATGCCCATTTACGTTAACAGCTATGTTGAGTCTGATGGGTCACACACAAACACTTTGAGTTGTTTTGAATTCTTGCATTGTGATTTGGGCCCAATAAAGATTAATAGGCCTGAATTGGTAAAGCCCACATGTTGGATCAAGAGATGGAAGGTGGCATCATGGGCCAAGTGAGACTTGATCTATGTCACAATCTAATTAATTTAAATGTTAAATTAATAAAATATAATTTGAATTGTCATTTTGAATTTTGAATTTAAATATACTGATAAAATTTGATTTGATGAATATAGAGAAAACTAAGGAAAATAGCTAAAATTAAGGAAACTAATTAATTAGGTTGATGGGCCAAAATTAAAAAAAACCAATTAATTAAATTGATTAGCTAAAATTAAATAAGCTATGCAATTAAATTGATTGGATAAAAATAATTAAACTACCAAATATGATTCCCAATATGATTCGGAGGTGACGAGGCGCTGACACTTCCTCTCTCGCAACACATTGTTGTTATTGTTGCCACAATGGTATGCTATCTCAAACGGATAAAGGTTATACATCTCTATCCACCGGATAGAACACTTTCCTGTAGTCATTCAAATGAATAGTTTCACTGTCAAATGACCAACATTTTGTGCGGAGCGTGCCCCATTAAGCACCCAATCGATTTTGAGGAGACTTTGGGTCAACATTCCTTTATGTTCAGCACGACAAGCTAAGTTTTTCATCCACCCAATCCATTTTGAGGAGACTTTGGGTCAACATTCCTTTATGTTCAGCACGCCAAGCTATGTTTTCCATCCTTTGTCATGACCTTATCAATTATTCTAACTTGAATTGCCTCATTGTTGACTTGCTTGCATCGATCCCTCTGCCATTAAAGAACTTTTCACAATCAATGATTGTGTTATGTTCTAAAAAATTAACAGACCCAACAGCACAATCATGGCTTCCAATAAGATTCTCTTCTCCATTATCCTAATTATCTTCCTCTTTCTTGCAACTACGGAATCACAAGGTGACCCTTTTTATCTATACCAAGATTGCTCAAGCTTAAAAACCAATCCCAACACCTCCTTCCAATTAGACCTAAAATCACTCCTTTCTACCTTACCATCTAGAGCAATCGGTGACACCCAATTCTTCAACACAACATTCACTGGCAAAACTCCCTCTGACTCAATCTATGCTATGTTCATGTGCAGGGGTGACATCTCTTCCTCCTCTAATCTCTGTCAACAGTGTGTTCTAAGCGCAACACACAGACTATCCTCGGAATGCTCCTTGTCCAAACAAGCTGTGATTTGGTTTGAAGAATGCATGGTTAGGTATTCCACTACTTATTTCTTCTCATCCGTGTCCACAACACCAAAATTCCCAATGTGGAACACAGCCAATGTCTCAAACCCGAAAAGCTTCATGAGTTTATTGTTTATGACCATGAATGAAACTGCAGATGAAGCAGCACTTCATCCTATAGGCCACAAGAACTATGCAACAAAGGAAGTATCAATATCTGAATTTCAGACCCTTTACTTTCTAGCTCAATGCACACCAGACCTGTCACCCCACGATTGCAGAACATGTCTAGGTGTAATCATGGAGGACATCAGAGGGTGCTGTGGCGGAAGTTTAGGAGGGAGAGTTCTATGTTCAAGTTGTAATATTAGATATGAATTGTACCCTTTTTATCACACTTCACCAACATCTACATCACCAGAGCTAGTTCCTGCAACAAAAACTTCCGATGCAGATTCAAGATTTTCAGATAATCCTGTTTATCTTTCTCACAATTGTTCAAGTAACAAAACCTTCACTTCAAACAGCACTTTCCAAATTCACCTCAAGACCCTTTTGTCTTATTTGTCTTCCAATGCCACCACTGGCAAGAAAGTGTTCTCTGAGATTAGTATTCAAGACACAGTGCATGGCCTCTTCATGTGCAGAGGTGATGTTCCCTCTGTTCTCTGTGGAAATTGTGTCATAAACGCAACCAATCGAATATCCTCAGAGTGTTCCTCGTTCCAAGAAGCTATAATTTGGTACAGTCACTGTTTGCTACGTTATTCATATCGAAATTTCTTCTCCAAAGTGAACAAAAGTCCTATGTTTTCTGAATTGAATATTACCTCAAGACCAAGCAAGGAACAAAACTTCTTCACTATTATATTAGCGAAGACGTTAGATCAATTGGCAATTGAGACTGGGGACAGTGATGAGAAATTTGGAACAAAATCAGCAAAATTGAATGACTTACAAACCCTTTATAGTCTTGCTCAGTGTACGCAGGATTTGTCAGGTGATGATTGCAGGGGTTGCTTAGGAGATGTGATTGGAACAGCAATTCCATGGTCTCGTTTGGGAAGTGCAGGGGGAAGAGTTCTGTATCCTAGCTGCAATCTCAGGTTTGAATTGCTCGAATTTTACATGGATGGAAACCAAACTCAGCTGCAAAGACCACCTAGTCCTCCTAAATCAGGTCAAGTCCTAACTCAAGTAATAACATATATATATATATATATGGGATAGGATCAACTTACACCGGTGTAAGAATAATAAATCTTACACCAAATCATAACCGTTGATTTCTGTGCATCGAACGGTTGAGATTTATTGGAAATTAAAAATTAATTAATGAGTGAGACCTAATAAATCTTAACCGTTAGATGTAGAAAATCAATGGTTAAGATTTGGTGTAAGATTTATTATTCTTACACCGGTGTAAGATGATCCTGCCCCTATATATATATATATATATATATTATTTTTTGAAAAATTACAAGATAATAAAGACACTACCTAACTACTCTGGGACTTTCAAAACCTAGTTTGTCCTTCGTGACTAGATCAATGCACCCACATGGTGTTGAAAAATTAATGACAATATCCCTCCTAACAGCTAGAGTTTGCTGGGCCATCATCCAATCAGCCACCATATTCCCCTCTCTTAGCGTATGATTAAGATGAATGTTCCAGTTCCTATTTAGCATTTCTTTCACCTGCATTCCAATGGGGGCAAGCGGATGATCCCCCATATCTTCTTGCTCTATCAAGTCCATCACCTGAGATGAGTCTCCTTCTAAAATGATGTTTGTAAAGCCCCTCTCGCAAGCTATTTTTAACCCAATTAGACATCCCCATAACTCGGCGCTGAAGGCATGACCTTGGCCAAGGAACTTTGAGAAGCCCAATAGCCAATCTCCTTTACAATCTCTGATCACACCACCACAACCAGAAATCAATCCTCCCCTAGAGCTTGCTCCATCTACATTCAGTTTTAGCCAGCCAGCCAGTGGGGGATCCCATTTCACCAATTGAACTCTCCTTGGATTAGGGATTAGCCCCCTACTGTCAGTGAAATTTTTGCAGAAATGAAACTGTCATAGTAACAGAACACAGTACGGATGGTGCTATGCAGATTCGACTGAACTCCACTAAAAAAGAAGTCATTCCTTTCTCTCCAAAGTACCTAACAGCATATACCAAAGACCAGGGACCAGCTTCTGGAATTTGGATCAGCATTAACCTGTTTTAAATTTTCTTCAATCCACTCCCTTAGTGATTTAGAGCCAAAAGAGGGCCAGCAGCTTGGTTTCACTAATGCACTCCAAACTTTTTGGGACCAACTGCAGTCCCTGATTGCATGCAAAGAGCTTTCTGTAAAATTTAGACATCGAGGACACAGGTTTGAATCTGCAAAGTGTCTGATAAGTCTTCTTTGATTTGTCATTAAATCATCTCCCATCAAGAGCCATAAGAAAGATTGTATTCTACTAGGACCATCCCACTTCCAAATGATTTTCCAATTGAGAGCTGGAAGGATGTTATGCGGGTCCCTTAGCATTTTATATGCTGATTTTACAATGAATCTCCCATCATCAGAACCAATCCAATAAACACGATCCTCTCCATTATCCTGCACAGCAGGCAAGATGCTATCTACCAGCCTTCCCACTTCTGGTATGATCCAGTCCTTCATTTTCTGCCAATCCCAGTACCCCTCATTTGTAACAAAATTGGATACTGTTTCCTGAATAAGGCTTTCTGGGATACCTACCGTGATCATCTCTTGAATGCTCCCAATATTTGGGATCCAGGGATCTAGCCAGAATCTGGTTTTTTCCCCATTACCTACAAGGATTTTCGAATGAGCCTTCACCTCATGCCAAACTTTCACTACTCCCTTCCAAAGATTGGAGTTGCTGGGAGGATTTTTTATAATTGGGATTAGCTCATTCCCAATTCGGTATTTATTCTTGAGTACCTGAACCCAAAGCGCCTCTTGTTTTGATATGATCCCAAAGCTTATCTTCATTAGGAAAGCTCTATTGACATCTCTCATAGATTTTATGCCTAGACCCCCTGTCTCCTTTGGAGTACAAACTCTCTTCCAGGCCACATGGTGAGGACTATTAACCTTACTTCCTGAGTTCCATAAAAAACTCCTAGTTGTTTTTTCAATCTTATCACAGGTACCCAAGGGTAAGAGGTTAGTTTGCATGGCATACATTGGCAAGGCAGAGAGGACCGATTGGGCTAGTACATTCCTACCAGCCAACGATAAGGTTCTTCTCTTCCACGATCCCAGCTTCCTACTAACTTTCTCCATGATGTGGCTAAAGCTCCCTTTAGTAACCCTTTTATGATAGAGGTTAATACCTAAGTATTTCCCCAAATCAGAAGTCAATCCAAACCCCAACTCATTACTTAGCTCCATAGCATGGTTATGGTAACATTCTTCGACAAGAGAACTCTTGTTTTTTCAACACTAATGCTTTGGCCAGAGCAGTTAAGGACCTGTTTGATGATCTTTGCTTGCTTCAAAGATGCTTCTCCGAACAGTAATAAGTCATCTGCAAAAATAAGATGGGAAATGGGAGGGCCATTTTTCTTTAGCACCACAGGTTTCCACTACTTTTTTTCCACTGCCAAGCTAATGAGATGAGCCAGCCGCTCTATGCACAACGAAAAGATAGGAAGATAGGGGATCTCCATGTCTAACTCCTCTTGAAGGTTTAAACTCTCTTGTGGTGGTCCCATTCCAAAGCACATTCATAGAGCAAGATGACACGCAACTCATGATTATGTTTATTAGGGGCTCGGGTAACCCAACTTCTAATAGTATCTTAAATGAAATCCCATCCCAGTTTTTCATATGCTTTCTCAAGGTCAACTTTGACAGCCATCGATCATTTTTTTTTCCTTTCTTGGACCTCATTGAGTGGATAATTTCTTATGCAATGATGATATTATCTGAGCTATGTCTCCCTTTCACGAAGCTGCACTGATTAGGCATAATCAAGTGATTCATGTGGTTTCTGAGTCTATTAGAGATTACCTTAGTAATTACGTTGCATAAACTGATAGGCTTGAGTTGTCTCACTGACTCTGGGCACTTCACCTTAGGAATGAGACACAATAAGGTTTGATTGATGGATATGATACTTTCAGGATTACTAAAAGCTTTCCTAACCACTTCACAAACAGCCTTGCCAACCTTATCCCATTGGGACTGAAAGAAGATTGCACTTAGCCCATCCGCGCCAGGGGCTTTATAGCTACCAAATTGATATATCTCCCTTTTGTTTTCCTCCCCTGATCGAATATTAGATAACCCCTGAAGGCTTTGGCTGCGCAGTTTGGGGAAGGTCCCTTTAACAGGGAAAGTTGGTTTGCATTTTTCTCTTCAGTATACAGGTCCTCAAAATAACTCGAGATCATATTGACCAGTAACTCAGGTTCTCCTATCCAATTCCCATTAATATCCATCAATGATTCAATTCTATTAGCTCTTCTTCTTGCAACAGTTGTGGAATGGAAAAACTTAGAATTCCTATCTCCAAACTTCAGCCACTTACATCTAGATCTTTGGAACCAAAGGATTTCCTCCCTGAGGTAAATTTCATTCAATTCCTTCCACAGGTTTCTCTGGATATCTTCGAGATCTGAATCATGGTACCTACTCAATCTTTCATCTATGCCTCTGATTCTGGCATGTAGATGAAATTTCCTTCGGTTGGCTTCTTTGTATGTTTCATTATGCCAATTTGAGGCTTCAACCTTAAATTTTTCGCAAGCCTCTTTCCAGACAGCTGCTTCCCCCCAGCAACTATTTATAATCCCATGGAACGATTCACAAGTTAGCCAGGAAGCCATAAACCTGAATGGTTTAGTGCTATTGGTTCCCCTGGGAGGAGTACCACTAAGGAGGATTAACGGTCGATGATCAGAGCTATAGAAAGGGAGGTGGGATAAAAACCTGTTTGGGAATCGAAGGTTCCAATTCTCATTGTTGCAGGCTCTATCCAATCTCTCAGCCAGCTTTCCCCTCTTCCAGGTATATCTGGGCCCTTTAAAACTGATATCAGATAGATTGCATTCTTCCAGACAATTGTGGAATTCTGTCATAGAAGTCCAGTGGGGTTCAACACCCCTATTCTTCTCCTCCGCCTTAAGGTAGGCATTAAAGTCCCCCATGGCTAGCCAAGCATCGTATCTTCCTATGCTAAGCTCTTGCAAATTCTCCCAGAGAGTTCTTCTTTCCATGCATCTCGGGCTCGCATAAATGAAAGTAACCAGCTCCTCCTTTGTATATTCCTTCCATACCAAAGAAGTATGAAGGAACTGATGATGTGAAGAGATGATTTTGACTTTCACCTCTTCATTATTCCAAAGCAGCCACAAACCACCTGAGTAGCCAACCGCCTCTTGGATGTGATGGTTGTTGAAACCCAACCTGGATATGAATCTCCTTGCTTTCTCTCCACTAATCCGAGTTTCCATAAGGCATAAAACTTGGATTTTGAACTTCTTGGTTATATCATGTATAAGGGGAGGCAAGCCTTTCTTTCCTGCACCCCTAACATTCCAACTGCAAACTATCATAAAAAAAATTTTATAACAGAATTAAAACCACTCCATCCCTAGGAATGATTCACTTATTGATCTCAGTGAAGACCTTAGTACCATCCCAGGTACTCAAAGTAGCATCAAAATCTTTCCCTTCAGCTGTTTGGGAAAATTTTCTGATCAGATCTAGATCATCCGGAGGTTTACCTTGTGGGTTCATATTCTCCTTAGCATCCCCATTATCCACTTCACTTCTACACTCTCCTTTTGATTTCGAACATTCCCCTGTGTCAAGGCTTCCCATGCTCATCGGTTTAAATGTTCTTGTCACTAAGAGGCCTTTTTTGGTAGTTGGGGTGATTTTTTTGGTATTTGGGGTGGTTTTTTGGTTGGGCTTAGTGATTGTTCTTTCGGGCCTAAGTTTAAAGGGCTTATTTTTGGTTGGCTTGGGACTTTTAGTTTTGGGTTTGCTCCCTATGTCCATCTTAGGTTTCTCCACTACCTTATTCCTGTCAGGTTGGTTCAACAGTAGTTCAGTACCCTCAGGCTGGGTAGTCACCTTAGGTGGGGTTTCTACTGGAATGCCTGCCACCATCGTATCTAGCACAGGACTCATAGCCTTCAGCGCGGTTTCCTCCTCTACCTCTCTGATGATCTCAAAACGTGATCCAGCTGCTTTAGCTGCGTGAGTCTTAGTGATGTGACTATTATCTTTCTGCCTTGTCTTTTCCACTCTGGTACTATTCACCGTCTGCTTCAAACTTGGCTCATCGACTTTTCTCTGGACTTCCTTAGCTCTTCTCCCTTTCGATTGTCTCTGAACAATCATCCACTCTCCGAACGGATCCGTTGTCATCTGCTTGATCTCTTTCATTCTGTTGCCTCTTTGGTTATCTGCTTTGATTATCTTGCTTCCTTCCTCTGTCTCTTTACCCTGCAACTCCGGACACAGATCTTTCCTATGCCCATATCTGCCACAACCAAAGCAGATGAGGTGCAAGCCTTCATAAGCAACGTTGAAGTATCTGTTACATATTTTGAACTTCGATAAAAACTTCTTGGAAAGATTAACCTCCACACAAATACGGGCGAATTTTGCACGCTCTGTAGTCTCTTCCACTCTAGACTCTGTCTTGCTTAACGAATTCTTGTCAATCTTCAGAGTTCTGCCAAACATGTTCCCAATACTCCACAATAAATGTGTGGTGTAGTACTCAACTGGAAGACCCAGAATTCTGATCCAAATAGCAAGATTTTTCAACGTTTCATCAAATGGATCGAACATTGGCTTCCATCTTTGGACTGCAACATAGTGATCTGCAATGATCCAGGGTCCATCTTCAAGCACATGTGCATAGTCTTTTTCATCCATAAATCTGAAGATGAAGAAATCATTCTCCAAATCAATGAACTCATAGGCTCCTGATATCTTCCACATCTTCAGCATTCTGCTTAAGAGAAATTTGACATTCAGACGCTTACCCAGCAACTTCACTATCAATGCATTTCTCCACTTTTTACATGCTTCTCGGTGGATCTCCTTCGGAACTTTGAAGGTTAGGCAAAAAGGATCTTCTTCATCAAGCTCAGCATTCTCGTCCCAAGCATCTGCCTCCTCTTCTTCTCTCCTCTGTTGGGCCATCCAATGCTCCTCTTCTTTGATCTCCCTACTAGCTCCATTAAACTGGAGGAGGGTATCTTTGTAAGAAACCACTTTCCTGGCCGTAGGTGTCTCTTCCCCTTTGTATTCCTCATCTTTTTCAGCATTCACCATTTCTTCTTCCACGACTTTCAAACCCTTATCTGCTTCCACCATGGTTTCTTCCACTGTTCCATCCTTTTTTGGTTTCTCAATGCTTCTCCTCAGTAGATCCTCGTCCTCTACAGACAGAGTATCATCGTTTCCTTTATTGATGTCGATTCCCCCCGAAGCCCTGATAGAGCTCATCGTGTGATTCCCGCAGTAATAACATATTTTAAATGAACAAGTTTGTACTATTTAATAGAAAAATATTTGTTACTTTGAATCTGTTATTTTAAATGAAACGAGCATGTTTTGTATTTATTGTTGGCTTTTTACATTCATTATCCTCCATAAATTTACGTCTCATTATTATCTATATCATTGTTGTGATGAAAATAAACAAGTAAATGATTATGATGAAATATTTGTAAAATATAGTCAATTAGTCATTACCGTATCATGGTTGCTTCTTGGAGGATCATGATATTGTTACGGTTTTGTTATTTTATTTTAAATTATTGTTGTCAATAAAGGGTTGTTAGTTGACCCAATCTTTAGGAATGTTGGAGTAGTGGATCAGAAAAAATCTTGTGATTTTTAGTCACTGGAGTTACTATAGGGGTTGTTGTTATTTGTTAGTGTTTTTATTGTCTATTTAAACTTTCATTGAAATGAATAAAAGTATTAGAAGAATTATTTGGAAAAAGCATTGTGTGTAAGAGGTCAAGCTTCCTCAATAAAGCTACTTTTTTTATGTATGTAACAGCTTGGTATCAGAGCCAAGCACAAACACCGCGTGCATGGAGAAATGGTTGGAAAGATTCGAAGATGTCGTCCAGTCTTTGTCGAAACAATTCAAGTAGATGTTTACTTAACTCTCCAATCGGTTGGACTGTTGCCCTTAGGGGGAGCATGATGTTGGGTCTTACACTTGAGGGAAAGATGTTGGAAGTATTCAAGTATGAGTTGTAAAGAAGTACCACATCGACTAGACATAGACCAAGTGATGACCATATAAGTGCAAAAGACTCATAAACCTACAGCCTTACGGTTTTGGGTTGAGATGTGGTGTCGGCTCACTTATTGTGGTTTGTCATTTGGCCCATTGGAGGATGTACCCTCTGTAAAGAGTTTTGGGCTCCCCCTACCATTCTTAACATGGACATCTATATGCTGACACGACAAAGAGTCGCATGTGTCTTACGCTCCAAAAGTGGTCAAACTGGACTTTCCACGACTTAAGATAATGCTATCAAAGGTGGGAAGATTAGATACCACTAAACATGTTAGTTATTTCATTAGTGACCTTTCAAATGACATTCATGTCGATGTTCAGCCTAATAGGCCTAATTCTCTCTCCGAAGCTATAGGGCCTGCTAGACTCTTTGATGCCCGTAATAGCAAGGCAAGACAATTTGACTAGGGTCATCACAAAAGAAGGGTCCTTCATCCCTTAAAAACCAGCAGGCTCCATAACCCCAATCTATCATGGTCAGAACCGAAATGACACTAATCCAATTCGGCGATTGACTTTCGAAGAAATTTCTGATAGGCGGCGGAAGGGGCTTTATTTTCGCTGCATCAAGATTTTTCTCTTGGTCATCGTTGCAAGAAGTTATTTCCGATCGAGGTAGTGATGGACGAAAGTGATGGAGAGGCGAATATGGAAGATGATTCAATTACTTTATGTTGAACTTACTCTTGAGGACAAAAGTAATTTTTAGGAGAGGAAATGTTATGATTTTGTTATGTTGTTATTTTATTTTAAATTATTGTCAATAAATGGTTGTTATTTGACGTGGTCTTTAAGAATGTTGGAGTAGTAGATCAGAAAGACTGTTGTGACCCTTAGTAGTCGAGTAACTATAGGGGTTGTTGCTATTTGTTAGTGTTTTCATTGTCTATTTAAACTTTCAGTGAAATCAATAAAAGTATCAGAAGAATTATTTGAAGAATAAATATCTTTTTCGGTTCTCAACAAATTTTACGATGCTTGCTTTAGTCCCTAGCAAATAAAAAGGCTATTCGTTGTCCTTAAGAAATTCAAAGTGGACCCATTTTAGTCCTTTTGAGGGACTAATATGGGTCTTTTTTGAATTTGTGAGGGACCACAATTTCAACTAAATGAGTCCATTTTGAATTTCTTATGGACCACGAATAGCCTTTTTATTTACTAGGGACTAAAGCGGGCATCATGAAATTTGTTGAGGACCAAAAATGATATTTACTCTTATTTGAAAAAAACATTGTGTGCAAGAGGTCAAGCTTCCTCAATAAAGCAACATTTTTTATGTATGTAACATATATTGGTTATTAATTTATAAATAAACGATACTATTGAAATTTAGAATGATTAAGTAAATTGATTTTTGAATATTCCACCTCTGTATTTGGAGAGTAAATTCAATAAATATGTGAAATTTTTAGCACTTACCCCATAACGTAACATGAACCATAACATGCCACTTCTAGTGTTGTTATCAACATGACATGACTTATTGACTATTACTACCCCTTATGAGCGAAATATGTTGATTCATTTGTGCAGGAAAAAGAGATGGTCGGTTGCGAACAATTATATGGATTGCAGTGCCCGCAATTGTTCTTGTGCTGGTCTTCTCTTTTGGTTACTATTTGATTAAGAGAAAAGCAAGTAAAAGCTATAACACTATTCTCGAAGAAAACTGTACGTATTGTAAAAAATAAATTTTTAAACCTCTGCTTCTTAAGCTTCAAGAAGTTTGAAAACTTAGTTTAACAATTTAATCATATTTGATCTAGTTGGTCATGAAAGCGCCACTTTAGAGCCATTGCAATTTGATTTGGCTGTAATTGAAGCAGCAACCAACAACTTTTCATATGAGAATAGGATTGGCAAAGGTGGATTTGGAGAAGTTTACAAGGTGAGAATATATGATAAAATTTATTTTTATGTCGTTTTTTTTTCACATAAATAATGGTTTATATTTTTAGGGTATTCTTCTTGATGGACTACAAATAGCTGTTAAGAGATTGTCTATAAGTTCAAGGCAAGGAGTAAATCAGTTCAAGAATGAAGTGTTATTGATATCCAAGCTTCAACATAGAAATCTAGTGGCATTCATCGGTTTTTGCCTTGCAGAACAGGAGAAAATACTTATTTATGAATATGTGCCAAATAAGAGCCTCGATTACATTTTATTTGGTTTGACACTTTTGATCTTAAACTCCTTAATAAATCAATGTATAGATTTATGAATTATTAATGGAAAAAATGTTTCTCCTACAACACAGGAGCAATCCTGAAATGATATCGTTTTGGGTTTAGCGAAAAAAAAATTTAAAAGTATTTTAGAAATTTAACTTTTTTTTATATCATGAATTTTATCAAAATATTTTATATTTTTTTCTAAACCCCGAGATAACGTTATTTTGTAGGAGAAATGTTAATCACATTATTAATATATATTTTTATATTAACTTGTTTTAGTTCATTTGATTAATTACAAAATGTGCCTCACTCTTACAATTGTAGATTCTCAGCAGCAAAGGTTGTTAAGCTGGTATGATCGTTACAATATTATAGGAGGAATTGCTCAAGGAATTCTTTATTTACATGAATATTCTCGACTTAAAGTTATACATCGTGATCTGAAACCTAGTAATGTTCTCTTAGATGAAAATATGATTCCAAAAATTTCAGATTTTGGTCTAGCTAGAATTGTCGAAATAAATCAAGACCAAGGAAATACAAATATAATTGCAGGAACGCAGTAAGTTTTCTTATCTTTTCCTTTCCTAGCTACTTTATCAAAATGTATGCTTTAGATATAAATTGATATTTTTTTTAATTTTATTTTATAGTGGTTATATGTCTCCTGAATATGCAATGCTAGGACAATTTTCTGAGAAATCAGATGTTTATAGCTTTGGAGTGATGGTTTTAGAGATTATTACTGGGAAAAAGAATGTAAGTTCTTATGAAGCACATCGTGTTGCTGTTGGACTTTTGAGTTATGTGAGTATAGTAATCTAGCAATTTGTTTCCTTGCATCAATGTTTACAAGCCATATATCTTATGTGGAGTGTAATAATTTAGATATTTGATTTGATAATTTTTTATAGGTTTGGAGACACTGGAAGGATGAGACACCGTTAAGCATATTGGATCCAAATATTAAGGAAAATCATTCAGAAAATGAAGTCATTAAGTGTATTCATATTGGTTTATTATGTGTTCAACAAAACCCTGATGATAGACCTACAATGGCAACAGTTGTTTCATATCTCAGCTGTCAGTTTATTGAATTGCCTACTTTACAAGAACCTGCATTTTTCTTGCATGGTAGAATGGATCCAACAACAATTGCAGAGGAATCAAGTTCCAGCCAATTTATCAACAATTCCATGCCATTCTCTACCAATGAAATCTCTACAAGTGAAATTCTTCCTCGATAGGATGTTAATTTTCCTTTTGAAATCGTTATGCCATTGATATTTTTATTGTATAATATAATAAAATATCATTTGCAACTTTTTACTTGTAAAAGATAAGTTATGAGTTCTGTTTTTTTTTTTTTTCTTTTCATTCCTTAATTTTTTTTTCATTAAAAACTTGTTATGATCCTAAAATCATTTGATAAAACAAAGAAACTAAGGCTGCAAGGAAGTTTATAGCATTGTGAATTTGTGCAAAACAGCTAGAATATTATGCAATTGAGGTAAATATTTGCTCCATTAAATGTGATGTTATTGAGTTTCAAAGTTAGCAGAACTAACTATGTATATGAGCTCTATTGTTATGTTTTATCATTGTAGTTTGTAGACAAAGTAAGTTGTTACTTATTATGATTCCTGCAGTTCGTACGGGTTTCTGAAGGTGGTGTTGAGTATAAAATGATAAAGTCCACATGACATGTATAACAAAGAAAAAGTTGAGGTTGGGAATGAATCTTGGGGAGTGTTTGGTAGGGGACCCAAGAAAGTGGGGATGAAATTTTAAGAAGTCGATGTTTTGGTAGACCATTTTGAAATTTTTTCCAGGAAAAGTGATTTTTTTGGGATTTGCTTTTATGTATTCACTTTCAGAGGAAACCAGAAAATCAGACGCGAAAATTGTGACAAAATTAAGCCTGAGTATCAGATTTTTGTGTACTTGAGTTATGAACAAATTGGATTTTGAGTAGACGTCCTGCGTAGACAATGCTGCTTTTCCAAAGACAACGACCGAGAAAGACAACACTGCTTCTCCTAATTGAGGATTCCTCCGGTTGAAAATCCTGTTTGCTTCTCAGATTCGCTGTCAGTTTGATTTCACTTCACTTTTCTTCCTTTTTTTACTTCCACGACCTTTTGTTCGTTATTCCCACTTTCTTTCAGGATGACTCCTATGTCGACAGCAACATAAGTACTATTGCAGTTGATTTCGTAAGAAACGTTCTTTTATTTTGTTCCTTTTGCTTGCTTCCGTATTTATTTATCGATGAACAATGAATTTTACTTTATGGGGTTTTTCAAAAAATCAGAACTGTGGAGGTGGAAGGCAAAATCATCTAGGTGCAGATTGTGCATGATACGTCAACTTGTATTAATTAATTAATTAATTATTTAAATAAAACGAATGCATTTTACTCACTCCATTTTGCCTTTTAATCCTGGTTTCTATGGTTGTGTTGTGACTAAAATGCCGGATGTTATGTTTTAGGGTTTTATAATTTTCATGTTGAATGAGAATTGAAATCTTATGTTGTAGAGACAAAAAATATATGGGACCCATATGTTAGAAAAAATTATATGTAGAACTCATATCAACATGGAAATCGAAGAGTGTCTAGGAAAATTTTAATTCTCATGTTAAATGAGAATTATAAAATCCTATGTTTTATTATGTTATTATGTTTTAAGTATCCTGAGTTGATGCCCCAATGAGTTTCATATAACATGTATTTAAGCTTTGTTTTTCGGCTTTTATCTTTTATTTTGAATTTTTCATTTTAGTTTATTCTTGTCCAATACTACATTGCCATTTTATTAATGAAAGCTCAAAATAGGCTCGGTTGTTAAAATAAAATTGAAATGTCAATCAAATTACTTATTCGAATGGTTTAAATACGTTCTCACAGTTGGGTTCATGCCTGGTATTTTATTCTCCCACCTCATTTTGTATACAGTACAATTACTTTGGTATAAAAACTGTTGTCAAGCCGTATGTGTTGAAAAAATTATTATATGGCCATTTGTCTACCAAACGCATGTTGCAAACGTTTGTGTTATCATCACCCACCTGTGCTTCTTAAGAGAAGAATCAGGAATAGCAAATTGAACAGGGATCTGAGGTGAAGTAAATTGAAATTGATGCTCTCTATGTGGGCTTATAGTGTCACAGCTCATGTCAAGATTTTCCTAATTTTGGCTTTTCTGCTGTCAATGGACCACATATTGATACATATAAAAGGTACTTTTACCTGTTTGATTGAAATAGAAACCTGTGATGTAGGATTTCTATGGATGTGTAACGTATAACCAATGAAATTGTTCAATTCAACTCTGAATGAAATTTTTTATGCTGTTTCATTAAAATGGATTTAGTTGCAAGTCAAATGCTTGAGTGGATACATCTGTATGATCATAGGCTGATTTATTCATGAAATGAAATGAATGTGTTAGAAATATATTGTAATTAGGGTTTCCTTATTTCATATGTAATTAGGGTTTCCTTATTTCTTTTGTATTAGGTTTGGGCTTAGCCCATTAGAGTGTCTATATATTGTACATTCTTCATCATATCAATACACACATATAGTTTATTTCAAATGTTCCTCTTTTCTCTCTCGTTCCTTAATATGGTATCAAGAGCCTAAGGAACTTTGAAATTTTTTTTCCGGTGAACCCACTGTTCATCGCCTTTTAATTTTTTTTTCTTTTCTGTCGCGCTGTCAGTTTCTGGTACGTTTTCTTCCGCGTTTAAAGCTTCTGTCTACGTCAACCACCACCGTCCGGTGGAGTTTTCCGGCGAACTGTATACCGACGTGCTCGTCTTAGAAGAACGAACTCAACGACACCGGCCACACCCTCAACGGACCTCTCACGGGCCCTCACGCGAGCGTGCTAGATCCGGTCTTCTCCTCCACCAAGGCGCCACGTGGGGGCGCGTGGGACCTCCTCTCCCACCGCGGCTGGTTGCGTTCTCTTCGTCTCCCTGTGACGGTTCTGGATCTGGTTCTGGTTCTGTGTTTGAACTTCGTTTTGTGTTGACGTCAGATCCCTCTTCTACTGGTTAGTTGTGTGATCTGTCCTTTTTTGATTATTTTTTCTCTTAATTATAGATCCTCCTGTCTCCAATGACTCTGGTACTCCGGCTGAGAAAAAGTCAGACTCTGCTATTTTTTCAAATTATATCCTTGCTCTGTTGAGTGTGGATAAATTGGATGGTTCCAACTATGATACTTGGTCTTCCAATCTGCGACTTTGGTTGGATGGGCCGAATTATACATCCCATCTCACCACTAAGGCTGAATCTGTGGCGGAAAAGGAGCGCAAACGGTGGAAAATGATTGATGCTCAGCTGTGTAGCCTCATCAAAGCTACTCTTCATCCGTCTATCAAGCAGATTTTTCGACCTGCTGTGTTACTTGTGAAGCTATTTGGAGTCAGGCAAAAGCATTTGTGATTTGGTGGTCTGAGAAGCAAACATCAGGTCTTACTGCATCCATTGCTCCCACTGGTAATTCTGGCAATTCTTTTGCTGGCATATCTCAGTTGCACTCTATTGGCCCTTGGACTCTAGATTCTGGGGCTTCTGATCATATTTCTGGTAATAAGTCCTTATTCACTTCCCTTTGTACTACTGGTTCTTTTCCCATTATTACTATGGCCAATGGGTCTCTGGTCCAATCAAGGGGGATTGGCACGGTTCTTCTTTTACCTAATTTATCTCTGGATCATGTTCTATATGTTCCCGATTCTCCTTTTAACTTACTTTCTGTTAGTCGGTTGACCAAATCCATTGACTGTGTTGTTTCTTTTACTAAAACCTCCGTCATCTTTCAGGATCGGAGTTCGGGGAAGAAGATTACCAAAGGATGTGAGTCTCAGGGCCTCTATCAACTAGTTCCCTCTTCTTCAGCCTGCTCCACAGTGGATTCTCCTCTTACTATCCATGCTCGTCTGGGCCATCCTAGTCTTGCAAAGCTTCAGAAGATGGTTCCCCATTTATCATCTCTTTCTACTTTAAATTGTGAGTCTTGTCAGTTTGGGAAACATACTCGTAGTACGTTTCCGAGTCGTCTTAGTCGTCAAGTTGTTTCTCCTTTTTCTGTGGTCCACTCTGATGTTTGGGGACTAAGTCGTCATTCTTCTACTTTGGGTTTTAAGTACTTTGTTACTTTTATTGATGATTATTCCAGATGTACTTGGTTATTTTTAATGAAAAAGCGGTTTGAGTTGTTTTATATTTTTGAGTTGTTTTCTATTTTTCAGTTATTTTATAATGAAATAAAAACTCAATTTGGTATTCCTATTCGTACTTTTCGTAGTGATAATGCATGTGAGTACTTATCTCATCAATTTCAACAATTCTTTTCATCTCATGGCATTCTTCATCAAACATCTTGCCCTCATACACCTCAACAACATGGTGTAGCCGAGCGCAAAAATCGCCATCTGGTTCAAACCACTCGTGCCTTGTTAATTGATGGTAATGTTCCGTACACATTCTGGGGTGATGCTATACTTACTGCATGCTATCTCATTAATCGTATGCCATCATCTACTCTCAATCATAAGGTACCTCACTCTATTTTATTTCCCCATCAAGCTTTATATCCTTTAACTCCACATGTGTTTGGTTCTACGTGTTTTGTTCATCATCTTGGTCCAGGTTTGGATAAATTAGCTCCCAAGTCTCATAAATGTGTTTTTCTGGGTTATCCTCGGTCTCAGAAGGGTTACCGTTGCTACTCTCCCACTTTACGTCGATACTTTATCTCGACGGATATCTCCTTTTTTGAATCAATTCCCTTTTTTGGATCCTCTACTACTCGTGTGGATACTGATTATGTACAGTCATCCTTCCCAGGTGACCTTCTTTACCTTCCGTCTTTACCCGTCCATGTTTCTGACTCTCCTTCTATCACCTCTTCTGCTGATGAGATCGAGCATAGTTCGTTAGATGTATCTGTGGACTCACATTCAACTGCATCTCCTCCCACGGCTTCGGTCCCACCTTCGGATAGTGACCTTCCCATTGCTCTTCGTAAGGGTACTCGTGATACTCGCCCTCCGGCCAGGTATACAGTCAATATTAGTTATCATCGTCTTTCTCCATCATATTTTGCTTGCCTTTCCTCTTTGTCCTCTATATCTGTTCCTAAGACCACAGGTGATACACTTTCACATTCGGGATGGAGACAAGCTATGATTGATGAAATGAGTGCTCTTCATCATAATGGCACATGGGACCTGGTGCCTCTTCCTTCTGGAAAATCTGTGGTTGGTTGCAGATGGATTTATGCTGTTAAGGTTGGACCTGATGGTCAAGTGGATCGTCTTAAAGC